GAATAGCTATACCAGCCTATTCGTTACATCTATTTGACTGGAAAATCTTTTCCCAACCATTTACTCTGAGGTAATTTCTGTCTTTGAGGTTGAGGTGGGTTTCTTTTATGCAGCAGAGGGACAGATCCTGTTTTTTATCCATTCTATTAGCCTATGTCTTTTTATAGGCAAATTGAGTTAATTGATAATAAAGGATATTAATGACCATTGATTGAAGTGTGAATCTAATTAATCTTATCAATAAAAGTCAAGAGTCATACATCAAGGTAAAAACCTGAAATATCAGTGTAGCAGGGGAGCAGCCACAATGGTTTCCTACCTCTACAGTTTCTCTCAATAAAAGGACTCTAATTCCCTCTGCCCCACACTACTACTTCCTGTTTCCTCTCCATCTACAGTCATCCAAACTTCTATGTTTAATTTTGATCAATGAGTGGCTGGCCCCACCCTCTGACTCCATGCAAGTTTTATTTGTTATAACACAATCAAAATATCACCCAACATTTCCCCCTTATTCTCTAAATAAAGAGTGAAGATTTTAACTAGCAAAATAAAACTATATACAGTAAGTACAATAAATTTATACAAAAATATATAGGCAAGAATTACATTAACAATGTCCAGTATATTTGCATTTGGCAAATTCAGAGAAATATTTCATTAACTATCCTATCTTGGTGAGTCCAAAATATTGTACATAGTTCACTTTCTATCTTAACTTGTATGACCAACTCAAGGATAACCTTTTATGTCTTTCAACCTTATACACTTGACAGCTCTTTTGTGAGTGTCTTTTGTGAATGTTATAACAAGGAAAACTATAATTATAGCTATTTAGTCTTCAATTACATCAGAGACCTGAGAGGATATAATATTACCTGTGTAAACAGGAAGTGCAGAGCAAACAACTTCCAAAATTAAGAAATAACAGAAGCAGTTGGCTGCCTGGACAGTCATCCATGGTTTCTCTGTAATGTTGGTGCTTCTATCTTTGGCCTGCAGGCCTAGAATATCTGACATATTTTTCTGTAAAGTAGGATTTTTGAATGACTATCTCACCTTGTCTTGACAAATTTTGGCAACTTCTTTTTTGTGTGTCCTGCTTGTCTAATTTGGACAGCATACTCTCAGCAGTCAAGCAAAGGCAGTTTCTTGACTAGGGGCTAACTTTTGCCACAAAGCAATTTCCATATGCAGTTTCTCTGATGTCCTTCATCTTCTCTGAAGTAGATTTGTGCCACCAGGAGGAGACATGTCTCATTGTCATAAAAAATAACTTTATATTATTAAAATTTCTTAAATGCCATATTCTGTAGATATCTGAAGTGTGTGGAAACCACCTGTCTACCTAAATTGTATATCTATTTGACCTTGAAAACATATGTAACATGACCAAAAATTTGGTTATAATGGGTGACTAACTACTAACCTGCATTTCTTTATTTTCCTAAATAGGTTATAATAATAATTTTGAAGGACTAGAAATTTACATTACATTGTTAAATAATCTGTATAGGTGCAATACCTTAAACAAGAGTAGAAATGTAGGTACATTAGCTTCTAACAAAAATAACCTTAAATTTTCGTCAATATACAAAAATATCTTAAACAAGAGTATAAATCTATATCCAGTATCATAAAAACAACCTCAAATTTCTGTCAATATACAAAAATCCATATGAATGTAAAATATTTAAGACTAGTAGTGGCTTTTCTGGTTTAAAAGTAGAATCAATAATCTATCATTTTATCCTATTTCTACATCCCCTTTATCTTTTTAGAACAAGATCCCTGCATCTAATCACCTTTGTTCAGCTTTTTTTTTCTTGATAATTACCAATAACAACTTGACTCCAACCCTGCTAAATGATGACAAATATCCATAACCTACTGAACAACCAAAAACTGCCCACCCAACTCTTGGTAATGTGTGTATTGTGTTCTTAAAATTACTTCCTGTTGTCTGGAGGCAATGACATATTGAGGGAACCCTGAAAAAAATTAGGATAACTATCAAGTCCTGGAAGAGCTAGTTGTATCATTTATAGTCTAGGCTTTGGGAATGGGAAACTACAGGGTTTATCTCAAGTCCTAGCTATAGTAATCAGTGAGGTTGGGCTATCTCAGCTAAATACCTTGAAATTTCCTGAGCAGTTTGTAGTCCCAAGATGACCTTTGAGTGGTGATTGTCAGCTTATTGTTGTTACCACAATCCTGGTGGAATTGTTGTGGGGCCCCATCCTCCTTTTGGAGACTTCATGCATCACTGTTAGGAATGGTCATGGTTCACTGCAGAAAACTTCAACATTTTAAATGTCATATGCAACAAATCTCAAAGAGGTTAAAGACCATAATTTCTTATGTACACCCAGAGTACAAAAACTTAATTCCTAATTACCTGATAAAGACTTAAAGCCAAAATCATATACAAGAAGCAAGAGGATGCCTAATTCTAAAATTAGTACTCTATATAATCATTAATAACATAACAAAAGTTTAAATATATATATATATATATATATATATATATATATATATATATATATATATATCTTATACATTTTGAGGCAATATTTATACCTCAAGAAAAGTTTTAAAGAGTCAAAATAAAACCAAAGAATTATGAGATTAATGGTATTAGAATAGTCTCTTCATTTTGGTTTTTCTTTTGTCCCATACCAGGTGGCTCTTCTGACAATAGACAGAGATTTTGGATTTTCCTTTAACAAGCATGCTTGAGTTTAGAGAAGAAGAGAGTCATGCTCCAACTCCAAAAACAGCTTTAAAATTTAATTCAACTGGGACTACAAAAAGACCATTTTCATTATTTTTGTGCAGAGAACAACAGAAACAAATATTTGAGAAGATTTATGAAATTTTATACTGCTGGAAATGTGATATGCCAATAGCCAATAGGCTAACTTTTTCTCTTGGGACATTTTCTCTTGATGATTCATCATTTTTCTTCTGATGTCTCACTTGTCCAGTGCTCTTCAGATTCTTTAGTTGTATGCCTTTAAACTCCTGGAAAGACAAATACAAAACCCTTCCCCAATCCTGACTTTGTAGTGTTTCCCTTTTGGCAAGTTATTTCTAATCAAATGAAAAACATTTGTTAGTCTTATAAATTAGTTTTGACTGAATGGTTATGCTGTTTGACAAAACATCATTGCTTCTAATCAAGAGGTCTCTCTTGTTCGAATCTATTATTTTTAAGTTTTGAGGATATCTCCTGTGGACCTCTTCCCCAATTTAACACATATCCTGGTTTCCATTCTGAGGTCAACAAATTTTAAAGTATACAGGCTGATTTAATTCAGCAGTTTTTTCTATCATCCAATGTCTCTCTGCAGCTGCTGTTCCTTTCTCATTAGCATTTAGAAAATTTAAAATTAATAAAGCATTGTGCAATCTTTGGGGGTCTTTATTACCCCTTTCTATTTATGAAGCTTATCTTTCAGAGTTACATTAGAGCCTGTAGGATTGTGTGGTATTCCTGTAACATGCTTTATGTTGTAATATGCAAAAAACTGTTTCATTTTACTAGAGAAATATGCTCAGCATTGCCATTCTTAATTTGTACCACTATCCCCATGATGGTCTTAAACTCTAACAAATATGTAATTACAGAATCATACTTTTCAGAACTCAAAGAAGTTGACCATTGCAATCCTGAATATGTATCCATGGTATGGTGTACACATTTTGATTTTCTTGACTCTGCAAAATGAAACGTATCCATTTGCCAAATTTCATTTTTCTTGAGGACCCTTTGTGTTACTTCTTGCAGGTAGTGGAGTTTGGTTATGCAAAGAACAAGTACGACATTTCCTTATTATTTCCTTGGCTTGTTACCAAGTGATGATGGAAAAATCTTTTATCAAATCCTTGCTATTAACATGGTGTATCTTATGAAAATCTGAGGCTTCTAGCACATTTACTACCAATAGTTGATCAATTTTATCATTATTTTGTGCTAGAGGGACTGGTAGATGAGTATGAGATCTGATATGTGTTATATATAATGGATGATTTTTATTTCTGATTATTTCTTGTAATTGAACAAGTAAACTCCATTCTGAGTCATCTAGAATAAATTCAGCAGTTCCAATACAATTTTTTTCTGCATATTGAATGTCAGTAACTATATTAAGAGGTTCTGGAAAATCTAATTATACCATGAGAATAGCATGTAATTCTTACTTTTGAATATAATCAGAAGGGCTTTGAATCAGTTTAAGTAAATTGTCTTATAACCTGTTTTTCCTGATTTTTTGGCATAACTATAGAATGAAGGGGCTCCAGAAATTGTTGCTCCCCATACAAGTGAGAAAGGATCCAGTTAGTTTTCTTTATAAACTGAATTATCTTGCTTTTGGGATATTTGTTGTTAATATCTCCCCCAAAATTATTGCAAGCTCTTTGCCAATATCCATTTTCTTCTGATAAAGAGGAAATTTCAGCATTAGTAAAAGGAATGACTTCTGCCAGATCTATTCCTGCTAATTGACAAAATCTTAATTTTGCTTTTAGAATCAACTCAGAAACCCTTTCTACATAGGTCTTTAATTTTTTACTCTGTTTGTGTGGTAAAAATATCCATTCTAAGATATTATCTTCTCTCTGCATTAAAATTTCTGTATGAGAAACCTAGAAAGTAAAATAACTAGAATACAATCAAGCTCTGGATCCAAACTATTCACATGAAACATCCTGCAATTCCTTTTCTACCAAAGGCAATTCTCTCTACATCTCAGTTGATAATTTTGTTGGAATATTTAAATCCTTATCACCTTGTAAAGTTTGAAATAAATCACTTAGTTCTTCAGTGGTAAATCCAATTATGGACCATAGCCAGTTAATATCTCCCAGCAATTTTTAAAAATCATTGAGAGTTCATAATTAATCTCTCCTGATTCATACTTTCTTTGGGTTAATTTTTGTAAACCAATATCATAACCTAGGTAATTAATTGAATCTTCTCTTTTTTATTTTTTCAGGAGCAATTTGTAATCCCCCAAAAGGTAAATTTTTCTTTACTTCCTCAAACATTTTCTCTAAGGTATCTACATTTGAATTAGCTATTATGACATCATCCATATAATGGTAAATTATAGATTAAGGAAACTGTACAAGAATCATTTCCAGCAGGTATTGTTCAAAATATTGGCACAGGGTGGGGCTATTTAGCATCCTTTGTGGGAGAACTTTCCACTGATATCTTTTAACAGGCTGAGAATTATAATTGGTAGGGACTGTGAAGGCAAATTTTTCTCTATCCTGTTCTTGTAAAGGTATATTGAAGAAGCATTCTTTTAAATCAGTCACTATAGTAGACCATCCTTTGAGTAATAGGGCCTTCTGTTTGGGTCATCTCTAGAAAAAAACATTGTTTCTAGGAACACCCTGCCTACAAGATCTTTTTAGATGGTCTTATTTACCACAATTAAAACATTTGACATTTTGATTTTTTTTCAAGCCTTTGGAAATCAACTCTCCTATCCAAGGATCACCATGGTTATGAGATTTAATGTTGACTGTATGTTGGATTCATTCCCTTATGGGTGCTGCTCTTATCTTTAAAGGCTGAATTACCCTTTGCATTGTGAATTAGCATTTTCAAAAGTCAAAGGTTCAAGTAATATTCATCTATCTTCCGGATTTGATATCCTTTTATTTACAGCTGAAGTCAATCTTTGCAAAAATTTATTGAAGACTTCTTTTGGGTCTTGTATAGTTTTAATAAATGAGTTAGTCCTCTTTCCTGATTCTTGAATTTTGTCCTAAGTATTCAAAGCTGCTGTATGGCATAGGGACAAAGTGTGATAATCAAATGTAATCTGTCTTTCCACATCAGCATAATGGCCCCTACCAAGGATTTGATCTTGGGAAATCTTGTAACCTCTAACCCTACCTTGCTGTTCTATGTGCCTAGCTCCATCTCTCCAACAATTGTTACACTATAGTTGAGGACTACTTCTCAATACTGATTTAATTAGATCTTTCTTGTCTTTTGGAATAATTCTGTGCTAAATGAACCATGGATTTAACATCTGCTTCATAAAATGTGAGTGGATGCCATATGAAACTATTGCTTTCTTTACATTTCTATAGAGTCTCATTTAACTTCTGAATAGCCTTGATGATGTCTGTCATCTGGTTGTCATTCTTGAATTGAAGCTGGATAAATTAATGTTGGCTTCCTAATATCTTAGGGTCACTCTCCTTCAGTTTCATAATGCCATGGTATGGTAACTTCTGCTCTAAATACCTCTGTCTATGTGTGAATATTTTTTTTAGTTCTATTAGTCTGTCTTTCTGAGTATTTTATCTTATTAGTCAATGTTTTGTATTTGGCACTGATATCAAACAATATTTTAGGGATAAAATAATAATTACCAAATGTATAATTGACATCATGTGAATCCCAACTAAGTTGACTATCCCTTCATTTAATTGTTCCATTTTCAAACCATCCATTGTAGAACTATACAGAGATCTAAATCCATGCATTATAATGTTTCTCATTTTTAATGTTGGGGAAAACCTCTTCAACCTCTTCTCTCTCCTACTTTTTATCTAATTCACCCCTTTTAAAAGATACAATTGTCTCTGCAAATCTGCTGACAATGATTGTGAAGTGTGAGGCTAACTGTCTCTGCATAGCATGTATGAGAACAGCTGCCACTGATTGCATGTCAACAGCCTGAACAAAGATTCACAGAGAAGCTCAAAACCCATGAGGAAAAGAGGCCAAAGAGTAAGCCATCTGAAAGGCATGCATGGGGAACATATGAAAGCAGCATATGTAATAAGCAGATGGGAAGTGAAAGCACAGAGCTGCTAAGACAGAGCTGGCAGGTGGTAAGGGGCTAACTCCAGCAGCATTTGGAACACAGGTACCGGTGGAGTTTGGGGCTTGTGGAGATTGCTGTGGAGAGGCTGCAACAGCAAAATCCCAGACTCACTCAGAGGGCTTGCAGAAGAAAAGAAAAAACCAGCCACCAACATGGTGATTCTGCTAGGTGCAGTTCCCACATGCAGCCCCAGCAGGTTCCAGCAGCTGCAAAGACCCAGGCAAGCAGCTATCTGATGAATTCACCATCTGAGTAGGGTGCCAGATGAAATGTTAATCTAACTAATCTTATCAATAAAAAACCAAGAGTCAGATATTGGGGTAAAATCCTGAAAGATCAGAAAAGCAGGGGAGCAGACATAGCTGCTTCCTAGCACTCCAGTTCCTCAGTCCCAAAGGGCCAGAATCCCCTCTCTGCCCTACCTTACTACTTCCTGTCTCCTTTCTGTCTACAGTCCTCCAAATGTTTATGGTTAATTTTGGTCCCCTAGTGGCTGGCCCCACCCTCTGACTCCAAGCAAGCTTTTCATGTCAGAACACAATTAAAATATCACACTACATGTGATTGTTAACTCCTGTTATTTTATAGTTTTGTTGTTGTTGGTAGTATGTATATGTTTCCCTTCTTTGGGTTTTGCTCATGTGAGATTACCTATTGCCTGTGTTTTTCTAGGTGCAGCTAACATCCTTGGGTTGGAGTTTTCTTTCTAGTACTTTCTGTAGGACTGTATTTGTGCATAGGTATTGTTTGAATCTTGTTTTATCATGGAATATCTTGTTTTCTCTATCTATGGTCACTGAAAGTGGGTATAGTAGTCTAGGCTGGCATCTGTGGTCTCTTAGTGTCTGCAAAATGTCTCTCTAGGTACTTCTGTCTTTTAGAGTCTCCATTAAAAAGTCACATTTAATTCTGATAGGTCTGCTTCATATATTACTTGGTCCTTTTCCTTGGCAGCTCTTAATATTCTTTCTTTATTCTGTATGTTTAGTGCTTTGACTACTATGTGGTGAGGGGACTTTTTGTTTGATCCAGTCTACTTGGTATTCTGTACACTTCTTGTATTTTCATCAGCATGCACTTCTTTTGGTTGGGGAGTTTTCTTTTATGATTTTGTTGAATATATTTTCTGTAGCTTTGAGCTGTAATTCTTCTCCTTCTATACATCTTATTCTTAGGTTTGGTCTTATTTATGGTGTTCCAGATTTCCTGGATGTTTTGTGTTAAGAATTTTTTGGATTTAACATTCCCTTTGACAGATAAATCTATTTCTTCTATTGTATCTTCAGTACCTAAGATTCTTTCTGCCATCTCTTGTATTTTGCTGGAGGTGCTTGCATCTGTAGTTCTTGTTCCCTTACCCAGATTTTCCATTAGCAGAATTACCTCAGTTTGTATTTTTCTTTATTGCCTCTATTTCAATTTTCAAGACTTGAACTGTTTCCTCCACCTGTTTGATTGTTTTTTCTTATCTCTCTTTAAGGGATTTATTGATTTCTTCTAATTTTTTGTCTTTTCCTAGATTTCTTAAAGGTAACTTTCCATTTCCTCTTTAAGAGCCTCTATCATCTTTGTAAAGTCATTTTTAAGCACATTTTCTTCTGCTTCATCTGCTTTGGATTGTTCAGGTCTTGCTGTTGTGGGACCAATGGGTTCTGGTGATGCCATATTTCCCTTCATGTTGCTGAATGTATTCTTAGACTGGCATTTAACCATCTGTTCTTCCAACTGGTCTAAGTGGTGCTTGTGCATATAAGGACTGCTGTCCTTTCAATTGGTTTCAAATTGTGTTTATAGGGTCTGCTGATGTTGCCAGAGAGGGTTGTCCTTGGGGATTATGATGGGGTAGGTGTGGTTGAGTGGGATAGTGGGTCTTGTGGGAACAAAGGCCAGTTGGTGGCAGCAGTTGTGGAACAGCCTGCCTGTAGGTCTCTCACTGGATGGCAGGCTACTAGGGACTGCACCAGAGCAGTAGAGTTCCCCCAGAGTTTGGGTGAGGAATCAGCTGCCTTGCTGGGCCATGGATTGTGAGGTGGAGCATCACAGGATGCCCCTGGGGTTTATGGTCTAGAGATTGGGGCAGTTTAGCTGGGAGACCAGTCACTCACCTGTTCTTCCAATTGGTGTAGGTGGTTCTTGTCCCTATATGGGCTGCTGATGTTGCAGGGAATGTTTGGCCAAGGCCAGGAAGACAGGATAGTTGGAGGTAGGTGTCAGAGTGGGTCTTGTAGGAACACAGACCAGTGGGTCACAGCAGTGGTGATCCAGTCTGCCCACAGTTCTCTCATCTGCTGGCTGGCTACTGGGGTCTGCCACAATAGAGTATTTTGATATCACATTTATTTCAGATTTGAATTAAGGTACAAAAAAAATCTTATGCTTGCTGATTCACATTCAATACCTCTGTTCAGAGACTGAGAAACATGTTTCTACACAATTATGTTCTTCATTTTCAAGGCCAAGGAGACAAACTTTATATGGTTTTTCCTGGTTGTGGAAATACTTATGTATTGAGAGAGGGCTTATCTGGATCAATGATGAGAACACCTGTCTGAGGATGCTGAGTGACTCATGTCAATGGGAATCTGAGGTCCAGATATGAAATCCTCTAATAAGACCAATTAGGGTTTCAAACCCTGGTTTACACTCCCCAGTTTTTATGGATGACATATAACTGTACAATCTGGCTTTAGGATCTTAGATTTTGAGCGTGTTTTGATAGTGTCCCAAATGTATCATAATTTCCATGTCATTCCTTCCAAACTGAACAGCATTCTGATTAGTAGTGCACCATATTGTGTATTTAAATGAGTGATAAATGCAGGTATTTAAGGGGTGGACTCAAAAGAGGGCATGCACTGAACAATTCACTTCCCAGATCACTAGCATTCTCAACAGAATATCACTTTCCTTTATTAGACAAAATGCAAGGAAAAGAAAGTAGGGATCACTGCTCTTATTACTGAGCACATTACAGTATTGTGGTCTCTGTCTCTACCCCCTTTTCAATCTCATATGATTCATCAATGTTTGACTCTTAAGTTAAATGTGAAAGAAATGGTTTAAGATTCCTGAGAGAAAACAGAATGATTGCAAACACAAATAAAAGTGTCTTACAGGAGTATAGAATACTTTGTTCTAGATGAAGAGTGATGTATAATATTCACAATAAGAAATTTTCAAAAGTATTCAAGATTGCTACCCAATTATCATTCTTTCTACATAAAATGCCTTAATTTTTGACAAACACAGCTCACAGAATATGATTCAACAAATCTTTACTATCATATGAATGGATGCATTACCACATGACCTTGAATCCTAACTGATCATGAAGGCAGATCTTCTATTTCATCTAATATACCATAATACAGTTCATGAGTTGTCAAGAAGTATAGTAACACAGAACAAACCTAGTATGTGATACGTCTTAAGGTAACCACAGTAATTAAAGAAGAAAAAATCAAAGTGTTTCCAGGAATATTATGGTTTGGTTCAAGTGTACACTCTCATGTTAATATTCAATGTTGTATTGAACCTTCTAGGAAACCCAGAAGACAGATGAAAAATATCAAAGGAATATGCCTGATATTCATTCTGTCCTTGAATACAACTTCCACTAGTCTCTTTGAGAGATAACATATCTGACTCTTATAGTATTATTCATTGCCTATTTATTGATTGCTTCAGAGGAAAGAATTAAGAATGAAAAGGTGTCTGCAAGAACATTCAATGTCATGAAATGAATTTAGCTCTCTTTATGTTTGTTGGGAAGATTTTATGTACTTGCGTTTAAGGCAGAGGAAGTGGGATATTATATACCCCTTTCTTGAACATTTTCCTTTCTAATATATTTTATTTATATTTTGCTGCAGGTTAAAATCAAGGAGGGCTGCTTATACTTCTGGGAAGACAGATAAGCAATGATCCTGTTACTGTTGATCTGCTTTCTGTGATCTAGGATTTGGCATTTCATAAAATTAGTGTCTGTGAGAACATCAGCTAAATAGTATTTTTATTATGTCACTCTTTTTACTGTTTTACTTTAATTCTTTCCTTAAATGTCAATTTCCCCCTTTCATGCCTCTATTATGGTAGGCCTCAAATTTTGAATACCTGATGAAAGCTAATGAAATTGTAGCAAAATAATTATCAATGCCTGCATCTTTTTTGATTATAAATCAGTCCAGTGAGGTGTAGCATGCAGTAAAATGACTATAGTATCAAGTTCAAATGGAAGACTTTCTTTTTAGCTTTTTAATGTAGAGATTTAAAGATAAAGCATTACCAGATTCCCTATCTCACTTTTTTTTAAGATCCCAGATTAATATAATATTTCTATACTGCCAGGTCTGGTACTCAGGTGATGAGTATGACATCATAGACCTGTACAGGGTATAGGCCCCTAGAGCACAATCATACTTAGGATTTTGACCTGTCAGAGTTTCATATATGCAAGTTTTCAGGATGAAATCTTTGTAATTTCACTACTTTGTAAAGAATATACCATGTTACAATACCATGATATAAAAATGTTTCTTGAAATATTTCCTCAGAAAAATTTTAAGTAGTCTTTCTTCATACAACTAAGGTAACAAGTACATCTCATGTAAGACATTCAATATGAAAGAAATACTTGGCAAAATACTATAGGTCCATCTTGGACAAATTATGATTTTTTTGTGTGTGTTTTGTTTTGTTTTGGTTTTGGTTTTTTGAGATAGGGATTTTCTGTGTAACAGTCCTGGTTGTCATGAAACTTGCTCTGTAGACCAAGCTTGCCTCAAACTCAGAGATCTATCTGCCTCTGCCCCCTCAGTTCTTGGATTAAAGCTGTGCACCACCACACTTGATTAAATTATGAAGAATAAGTTTTATGTCCAACCATTTGCCATTTAGAAAGCCTCAAACTTGCAACTATGTAATTGCTAGAGAAAAAAATATCTCTGGAATTAATGATACAGAGGCAATGAATCCAGGTATAAAACACAAACAGCAAGATTCCCCGACCCCCCCCCCCACCCCCACCAAGTTCTTAGTGCTATTAACTTGTATTGATGTAGGAATGCTTCTGGTTTATGTCCTGAAAGGAGAATAGGGACCATGAGTAATGGGATGGACAGAGAACACAGATTCAAAATTGAACTCAGTATTGACAATTGTAGGGTGAACTGGAAATTCACAGAAACCTACCAAACAAGTTATTTATGAATATGAACATGAAAATACATCAACTTAGTATGATAATGAAAGGATCTTTTTGTGATATCCTATACATTTTTCATATCATTGACAATACTTTCATTTATATCCAGAAAAGCAGTATTAGGACAGAAATTAAACTTAGATTAGCTTTTTTTTCACATTTTTATTAGTAAAAGTCACACAATACAGCATTTGATATCTTATTTATTTCTCATTTGTGTTAGCCAACAGATTATAATTGATTATGCTGACTGTTTTAGTACCTCTGTTAAAGACTGACAACATTCCCTCTGAACAATCATGTTCTTGTTTCTCAAAGTTAAGGATACAAGCTTTCTGAGGTTTTACCTGCAGTGGAAATACTCATGTTGAAAGAAGGCTTGTCTGTATCAATGATGAGAACAATTGTCTGAGGATGCAGAATGACTCATGCCAATAGAAATATGGGGTCCAGATACGAGGTCCTCTTAAGACCAAAGAGGTTTCCAGAGCTGGACTAGCACTTTTCAATTTTGACAGATGACAGGTAACATTTCAAACTGGCTTTGGGACCCTATATTTTGAAGAAATGGTCATTTTTACAGTGCCCCAAATGTGCCCTAATACTTGTTTAATTGCTTTTAATCCAAGTAACACTGTAAAGAATCATATAGTCTAGACAGGATAGAATCAAAAGAGGTGTACACAGTGGAAAAAAAATCACTTAACAGCTCATTACCACTGTCACCAGAATCCTGATTTCCTATATAAGGTAAACTGCAAAGAAGAGATTGGAGGGCTCACTGCTTTGATTACCGAGTGATTTTTGAGGACTCTATATTTCCTTTTTCTTCATCAATTATGCTTCATAAAGTTTAAGATATTGAGTATGGTGTTAGGTGCATTTGGTACAGATCTATTGACAGTGAATTTGTGTAGGTTCAGGGAAGCAGAATTATCTCTCAATGTTAATGGTCATCTTATTGTCCATGACACCAGATCAAGAGAGTTTCAGAATTTGCTCAAATTAGCAATCCTTCCTTCATGTCACATTGTCTTTTTCAAGTAATTTTATTTAATTGAGGCTCTTTGGAGCTATTTCTCATGAACCAGCATGCTTGAAGTGAGTGGTTCATGTTCATTACATCATGTATTATTTGCAAGAATAGTATATTTAACAAAGTTTTCCTGATTCCAAACATAAACTATATCCTACTTCCACAACCTCATGAACCTGACACACAACATAGGAAAATGAACTTCTGAAGAAGAAATGATGAAAGAAGATACACATGGAACATGGCTAATAAAAGAAATACATAATTTTTCTGAACACAGAAAATTCCAGAACCACATGGATTCTTTTCAGAGTATCACAGGAACATCAAAGTTCAATTAAAGCCAACATATTTAACATTTTACCCTGCAATAGTGAAGAAAATAATGCTTTAAGGCTAGTAATGGGATGGATAAAAAGAACATATATGCCAAGCAAATTCTGGTGCAAGAAAAAGATAGAATAGAGTGCTTTGCCCCAGATGAGTAGTGATATGTATTATTCTCAATAGAAACGTGTCAAAAGAAATCAAGATTGGAATTCATATTTCATTCATTGTGTGTAAAAATGCTTTAATTTAAGATAAGCAATTATGGTTCACAGAAGATAAATCAACCAGTCTTTAGTGAAGACAATTTCCACTACCCTTTCTGAGAGATAAAGCGTCTATCTCTTCTTGAATTGTTCAATGGACTTTGAAAGACTACTTTAGAGGAAGCAATTAGAAAGGAAATAAGCCCTTGCAAACAAGTGCAATGTTAAGAAAGAAAATGAACTCACCTGATGCTTTATAAGAAGTTTGTATGTGCTCAGATATGTGCAGGGTATGATGTGTGAGGCAGAGGAAGTTGGAAATTACCTCACTTTTCAAAGGCACATTTTCATTCTTGATATAATTTATTTGTATACTTATATTTTGTGGCACAACAAAAGCCTGGAAGACTACTTCTACTCTGGAATAACAGGTAAGCAATGTCTCTGGCTCTGTATTCCAAGACTGGGGTTTTTAGAAACTCTGCACCTGTGATTTTAGAAGTTCAATTAATATGACTTTCATGTTATTACTCTCTTGATCATTGTTTTTTATATTCTCTGACTATTTTTATTGTTTTTCAAGCCTTTTGTATTCTAGTTATCATAGTGTAGAATAATTGATAAAACCCAATGACACACCAAGCTAATGTGACCAATTCTTGTATCCTTGTTGACTTTAAAAGAGTGGTATATAGTATATGCTGTAATTATTTTCATCTCCAGGGCAAAACTAAGGCTTTCTTTCAACTTTGAATTTCAAATATTCAAACATAATTCATCCTGAGATTTTTCATCTCATTTTCCCATCAAATCTCAGATCAAAATTCTATTTCTATAGTGGCAATTCCAGTATCCAAGTGATGAGTATGATAACAGAAACATCTCTGCAGTGTAGGTCTCTAGAGCACAGAACATAATTCGTAAGTGTTCAGCCCATCAGAATTCCAAAGTTGTAGATTTTCAGAATGCACCGACTGTGTTTTCACTACTTTGTAACTTGCATTGTATGTTACAGGATTCCTCTATTTCACAAGAACATTTCTGAAGTGTCAGTCTTCCTACAACTATGGTAAAAAAAATACCACTTACATGTAACACTGTAAACAACAGAAAGATGTGGCACAACACTACATGCCCATCCTTAGAGAAATTAGAAAGAATAAGTATTATAAAAAGGCTTTGTATTTGAGGAAGTCCTGAAACTGCACCTTTTGGGTGCATAAATCTGGCTGTGATAATACAGAGAGAAGGAAACCTGTCTCAAAAAACACAAATCTAAAGACCAGTACGTCTCAAATTCATATGGAACTATTAGTCACATTAAGTAATATTAGTGTAGCTTTCGTTCTGGTTTCTATCTGAACAGGAGCATGAAAACTATGAGGAAGGAGATGGACAAGATAGATATGTTTCAGAATTGAATGAAGTATTGATGTTTGGAGCATAAACTGGAAATTGAGTACTGTACTGAGAAATAGAGGAAAGGATCATGAGCAGGAAGAATCTGAGCATAAGATATTAATAAAATTGATGGTATGCAATCAGTAAATTGGGGTGCTTATTAAAGGATCTTTGGAAAGAAAACAAGACATTTTAATGCTTGAAATGATTTTCCCTTTCTTGTTAACAAATCAGAATTCATGATAGGTAGTCAATTCAGAATATTTCACCAATGTGTTACTCTTTCTTATAAGTGTGGCACAATAGAGTATTTGATAGATTGTTCAGCTCGTATATGATATAAGATCCAGAAGACAATTTATTCATGCTGTCTCTGGTTCAGTACCTCTGTTGAGAAACTGAACAGCAAGCCTTATACACAATCTTGCTCTTGTTTTTCAAAGTTGGGAAGACTAGCTATCCCAAACTAGCTGCTGGTGCTGTGGTTCCTAGAGCTGGCTTGTGCTCTGGTAAAGCCAAAGTCTACTTCTGAAATGATAGTCTGGGATATGATGTTCTGGAATTCATAGGACCAGCCTTATCCCCAGTAAAGCTGCCAGGACTGTGGTCACTGGTAAAGAGCCCAGTGGAGAAGGTGATAAATATAACACAGTATGGTAACGAAGAGAGAGGAATCCAGACTCAAACACAGAAACCACAAGATGTGACCCTCTCAAATTCATATGGGATTATTGGTGATATATAATTGTCTCTGTGCTTTCTCTCCTGACATGAGCAGAGAAACTTCAAGGGAGGACACAGAAATAAGACACAAGTTTCAAAACTGAACATAATATTGAAAGTTACAAGATAAACTGGGCAGTCAATCCTGGGCTTTGAGATATAGGACAAAATCTTGCAGAAGAGGAGGCCTAGGACAAGAATGAACATCAGAAAGAGGAGGAATTTACCAAAATGCTCTTAATGGATTCTTGTGAAATCTAAAACACAGTATGCTTAGATGCTTAGGTTGTAGGATGTTTGCAATCTGTGGTTCATGAGGCAGAAAAGGTTGCCTGGACAAATTTCCATTCTTGATATGTTTTATTTATGTTTTGTTGCAGATTAAAATCCCAGAGGGACTACTAATTCTGCAAGTATGACAAACGAGCTGCAAATCTGGTTCTGCTTCAGCAAATTTGATTTCTCTGTATTAAGACTGGGGATTTCTTAAAGAAAGTATCTATGACCTCAAAAGTTCAAGGAATATGATTTCTGCAATGTCACTTTTTTGAAAGCTATGTTTGGAATTGTACTACAAATATCAAGTTTACCACTTTTCAGGCCTCTGCTATTTTAAATCTCATTAAGTGGAGTTCCTTCTCAACCTAGTGACAAGGTAACCAAATATTACCATTATCTGTATAGTTGTTGGTTTTAAAACACCACAATTGTGTGGAGGTTATGTTGAAATGACTTTAGTATTGAACTTAAATGAAAGTTTCTGTTTAAAAGTGGATTTCAGAAGTTCAGTCTTAATTCCTCCCCTGAGTGTGAACTTATTCTCCTTTAAATTCCAAGTGTCTACCACACTCCTATTTCTACCCTGTCTGATCCTGTTCCCAAATGATGTGTATGACAACAGAGACCAGTCCAGAATGTAGGTCTCTAGAGCACAGAGTATAAAGTTCAGATATTTGTCTTATCTGACTTCCATAGACATGGACTGGGAAAAGGCACCCACTGTCCTTTTACTGCTCTGTAATTATCTTTGCATGTTACAGGTGCATCTTAGTTTTTATGGAAAAATTCTCAAAACTTCCATTTTTCATATAACTGAGTTAACAAAAGCATCTTATTGGAAGTCTGTACAAAAGAGCAGGATGTGCTATAACAGTAGATGCTCATGTGCAAAAAAATGAGCAAGAATATATTTTATATACAACATTTCACCACTTAGGATCCCTAAAATTGAACCTTTGTTTGTGCCAGGTGATAGTGGCACACATTTTTAATCCCAGCACTCCTGCGGCAAAGCCAGGCAGATTTCTGTGAGTTTGAGGCCAGCCTGGTCTACAGAGTGAGATCCAGGACAGGCACCAAAACTACACGGAGAAACCCTGTCTCCAAAAAAAAAAACCAACAACAGCAAAAAAAAATTGAACCTTTGAAAATTTCTGTGAATAAATACAGCATGGTGTAATAACAAAGAGAGATTAATCCTTCAAACACACAAACTACAAGACATGCCTTTCTGAAATGCATCCTAAATATTGATGATATTTAGGAATGTTTGTGGAGCTTTCTCTGTGGTTTCTATGCAGACTACAGCAGAGAAACACTTATGAAGGAAATGGTAACAATACACAATTTTAGGATTCTACATACTACTGACAGTTGCGGGATGAACTAGACTGTGATACTGAGGAAAAAACTTGGGGTAGAAGAGGATGATGAGGAGGAGGAGGAGGGTTAGGAGGAGGAATCTACCAAATTTCTCTTGATGAATAGATTCTCATTAAAATCAAAACATAGGATGCTTATTAAAAGATGCTTAGAAATGGTACATGGTATTCTTAATGCTTTAGGACATTTTCTTTTTTGTCATGGAAATCAGATTTCAGGAAAGGAAGTTACCTCATAAAAATCTTCTAATGTATTTCTTATCAGTAACTGTGGGACAATAGAGTATTTAATGTTGTTCAACTAATATGTGTTATAAGATGCAGGAGACAATTTGTTCTTGCTGTCTCTGGTCAAGAACCACTATAGCCAAACTTAGCAACAAGCTTGATGCACTATCCTGATCTCCCTTTTCTAAGACTGAGACTAGCTATCCCAGGTTTCACTGGCCAGTGGAAAAACTCAAGTGTTAAGAGAGGGCTTTTTGGACAGAGGCAGACTGAGAAGCCTCAGAGGCAGACCACAGAGGCAGATGGAGTGGCAACAGAGACAGATGGAGTGGCGGTAAAGGTAGCTACGGCAGAGACAGGCTGAGCGGTGGCATAAACTCGGTCGTAATAAAGACCAGAAACTGAGCTATTACACACTGAGGAGTTAGTGAAAACAAGGAGAATAAGAACCTGGAACAGGGACGCCTTTAAACCCAGCACCCAGGGAAGGAGCCATCTCCATTAGATGTGACCAGAATGGATACCAGCATTCAGTCTGAGGCCAATCCAAGGCCCAGCTGCTGAACCTGCGAAACTCAACAACTTGGAAGTGTTGATGAGATTACCCTACTAAATAATCTACTCAGCTGAGATCCATTCAGGAGAGGAGTCAGAATCCTACAGTCTGCAGGCTGAGGAAACAAGATCAGCTGAGGAGTTGATGAATGAGCAAAATGTGACCTGAGAACACAAAAGAGGGTGCTGACCAGCCACTGAACCAGATCACTAGAATCATAAGCCTACACTACACCAACTGGGCACAGCTGCTCCCAAAGAAACAGAGCCCAACAGCACTGATTTAACCAAGAACTCCTAGTGGACCAAGACTAACAATTAGAACAAGAGAGGCACCTTCAGACACAGACACCACCCATACCCAGCAGAAGAAGAGATGAGTAGACGCCAGTGCAAAAATATAGACAACAACATAAAGACCTATATGACAACATCAGAACCTAGCGATTCTACACCTGCAAGACCTGAAGATACCAAGGCAGAAGAAACAGAAGAAATCAATCCTAAAAATGACTTTAAGAAGATGATAGAGATTCTTAAAGAGGAAATGAAAAACTCCATTAAAGAGGAAATAAAAAAATTCCCTTAACAAAATGGAAGAAAAAACAAACAAAAAATTGGAAGAAATCAAAGAAAGCCAAGAAAAAGTAATTAAATAGATGAAGGAAACAATTCAAGATTTGAAAATTGAAATTGAGACAATAAAGAAAACACAAACTGAGGGAATGCTGGAAATAGAAATCCTGACTAAATGAACAGAAACTATAGAAGCAAGCATAACCAAACAAATGCAAGAAATGGAACAGAGAATCTCTGACACTGAAGACACAATAGAGAAAATAGATTCGTCAGTCAAAGAAAACACTAAAGACAAAAAAGTTGTAACACAAAATGTCCAAGAAATTTGGGGCACCATGAAAAGACCAAACCTAAGAATAATAAAGATAGAATGAGAAGAATATCAACTCAAAGGCACAGAAAATATATTCAACAAAATCATAGAAGAAAACTTTCCTAACCTAAAGAAAGAAATACCTATGAAGATACAAGAAGCTTACAGAACACCAAATAGGCTGGATGCAAAAAAAAGTCCCCTTGCCACATAATAATCAAAACACTAAACATACAGAACAAAGAAAAAATATTAAGAGCTGCAAAAGGAAAAAGACCAAGTAACATATAAAGGCAGACCCATCAGAATAACACCAGACTTCTCAATAGAGACTATGAAAGCTAGACGGTCCTGGACAAATGTTATGCAGACACTAAGAGACCACGGATGCCAACCCAGACTATTATACCCAGCAAAACTCTCAATCACCATAGACGGAGTAAACAAAATATTCCATGATAAAACCAGATTTAAACAATACCTATCCACAAATCCAGCCCTACAGAAAGCTCTAGAAGGAAAAATCCAACCCAAAGAAGTTAAACACACCCATGAAAACTCAGGCAACAGATAATCCCACACCAACAAACACCAAAGAAGGAAAATGCAACAGGGCCACAAAAAATAACAGGAATTAACCATCACTGGTCATTAATATCCATCAATATCAATGGTCTCAACTTACCTATAAAAAGACACAGACAAACAGAATGGATAAGAAAACAGGATCTATCCTTCTGCTGCATACAAGAAACACACGTTAACTTCAAAGACAGACACTACCTCAGAGTAAAGGGCTGGGAAAAGGCTTTCCAAGCAAATGGACCTAAGAAGCAACTGGCATAGCTATCCTAATACCTAATAAAATAGACTTCAAACTAAAATCAATCAAAAGAGATAAGATGGACATTACATATTTATTACAAGAAAAATCCACCAAGATGAAGTCTCGATTCTGAACATTTATGCCCCAAATACAAAGGCACCCACATTCATTAAAGAAACACTACTAAAGCTTAAAGCGCACATCAAACCCCACACATTAGTAGTGGGGGATTTCAACACACCACTCTCACCAAAAGACAGATCTACCAGACTGAAACTTAACAAAGAAGTAAAGGACCTAACAGATGTTATGACTCAAATGGACTTAAGAGATATCTACAGAACATTCCATCCTAACACAAAAGAATATACCTTCTTCTCAGCACCCCATGGAAGCTTCTCAAAGATTGACCACATGCTTGGTCACAAAACAAATCTCAACAGATACAAAAACATTGGAATAACTTCCTGTATCTTATCAGACCACCATGCTTTAAAGTTAGACTTCAACAACAACAAAAAGCATAGAAAGCCTACAATCTCATGGAAACTTAATAATGCCCACCTGAAACATCAATGGACAAAGGAAGAAATAAAGAAAGAAATTAAAGATTTCCTAGAATTCAATGAAAATGAAAGTACAACATACCCAAACTTTGGAACACTATGAAAGCAGTGCTAAGAGGAAAATTCATGGCTCTAAATGCACACATAAGGAAATGGACAAATCTCACACCAATAAATTAAAAGCACAACTAAAAGCTCTAGAACAAAAAGAAACAAACTCACCTAGGAGAAATAGATGCCAGGAAATAATCAAATTGAGGGCTGAAATCAATGAAATAGAAACTAAGAGAACAATACAAAAAATCAAAGAAACAAAGAGTTGGTTCTTAGAAAAAATCAACAAGATAGACAAACCCCTAACCAAATTAACCAAAAGGCAAAGAGAAAGCACCCAAATTAACAAAATCAGAAATGAAAAGGGGGACATAACAACAGACAATGAGGAAATCCAGGGAATCATCAGGTCATACTTCAAAAACCTATGCTCCACAAAATTGGAAAATCTGGAAGAAATGGACAATTTTCTGGATAGATACCATATACCAAAGTTAAATCAAGACCAGATAAACCATTTTAATTGATCAATAACCCCTAAAGAAATAGAAACAGTCGTCAAAAGTCTCCCAACCAAAAAAAAGCCCAGGACCAGATGGTTTCAGTGCAGAATTCTACCAGACTTTCAAAGAAGAACTAATACCAATACTCTTCAAATTGTTCCACACAATAGAAACAGAAGGAACACTACCAGACTCTTTTTATGAGGCTACAATTACCCTGATACCCAAACCACACAAAGATACAACAAAGAAAGAGAATTACAGACCAATCTCCCTCATGAACATTGATGCAAAAATACTCAACAAAATATTGGCAAACCGAATCCAAGAATACATCAAAAAAATTATCCATCAAGGCCAAGTAGGATTCATCCCAGGGATGCAAGGATGGTTCAACATATGAAAATCTGTCAGTGTAATACATCATATAAACAAACTGAAAAAAAAAACCACATGATCGTCTCATTAGATGCTGAAAAAGCCTTTGACAAAATACAATACTCTTTCATGATAAAGGTCTTAGAGAGATCAAGAATACAAGGAACATTCCTAAACATAATAAAGTCAATTTATAGCAAGCCAACAGTCACCATCAAATTAAATGGGGAGAAACTCAAAGCCATATCACTAAAATCAGGAACAAGACAAGGCTGTCCACTCTCCCCATATTCAATATAGTACTTGAAGTTCTAGCCAGAGCAATAAGACAACAAAAGGAGATCAAAAGGATACAAATTGGAAAAGAAAAATTCAAACTTTCACTATTTGCAGATGATATGATAGTATACATAACCCCAAAAATTCTACCAGGGAACTCCTACAGCTAAACAACTCCTTCAGTAAAGTGGCAGGATACAAGATCAACTAAAAAAAAATCAGTAGCCCTCTTATACACAAATGATAAAAGGGCTGAGAAAGAAGTCAGAGAAACATCACCCTTTACAATAGCCACAAATAATATAAAATACCTTGGGATAACACTAACTAAACAAGTGAAGGACCTTTTTGATAAGAACGTTAAATCTCTAGGGATTGGGGATTTTGCTCAATGGTAGAGCACTTGCCCAGTAAGCACAAGGCCTTGGGTTCAGTCCTCAGCTCTGGAAAAAAAAAAGTGTAAATCTCTAAAGAAAGAAATTGAAGAAGATATCAGAAAATGGAAGGATCTCCCATGCTCATGGATAGGTAAGATTAACATAGTAAAAATGGCAATCTTACCAATAGCAATCTACAGATTCAATGCAATCCTCATCAAAATCCCAACACAATTCTTCACAGACTTGGAAAGAAAAACATTCAACTTCATGTGGAAAAACAAAAGACCCAGGATAGCTAAAAGTATCCTGAATAATAAAGCAATCTCTGGTGGCATCACCATCCCTGACCTAAAGCTCTACTACAAAGTTATAGTAATAAAAACAGCTTGATACTGGTATAAAAACCGACATACAGACCAATGGGATTGAATCGAAGACCCTGACATTAATTCACGCACATATGAACACCTGATATTCGACAAAGAAGCCAAAACTATGCAATGGAAAAAAAGAAAGTATCTTTAACAAATGATGCCAGGCAGTGGTGGTGCACGCCTTTAATCCCAGCAGTCGGGAGGCAGAGGCAGGTGGATCTTTGTGAGTTCGAGGCCAGCCTGATCTACAGAGCGAGATCCAGGAAAGGCACAAAGCTATACAGAGAAACCCTGTCTCAAAAAAAAAAAAAAAAAAAAAAAAAAAACGGTGCTGGCATAACTGGATGTCAATATGTAAAAGATTACAAATAGAGTCATATCTGTCATTATGCACAAAACTCAAATCCAAGTGGATTCAAGACCTCAACATAAATCCAGTTACACTAAACTTAATAGAAGAGAAAGTAGGAAGTACACTTGAACACATTGGCACAGGAGATCACTTCCTAAATATAAAACCAGCAGCACAAACACTGCACAACAATTAATAAATGGGACCTCTTGAAACTGAGAAGCTTTTGTAGGGCAAAAGACATGGTCAATAAGACAAAAAGACAGCCTATAGAATGGGAAAAGACCTTCACCAACCCCTCATCTGACAAAAAACTGATCTCCACAGTATATATAGAACTCAAGAAACTAGACATCAAAATACTGAGCAATTCAATTAAAAATGGGCTAAAGAGTTAAACAGAATTCTCAAAAGAAGAATCACAAATGGCTGAAAGACATTTAAAGAAATGCTCAACATTCTTAATCATCAGAGAAATGCAAATCAAAATGACTCTGAGATATCACCTTACACCTGTCAGAATGGCAATGATCAAAAACACGAATACAGTCTATGTTGGAGAGGATGCGGAGCAAAGGGAACACTCCTCCACTGTTGGTGGGAATGCAAACTTGTACAACCACTGTGGAAATCAGTATGGCGGTTTCTCAGAAAATTGGGAATCGATGTACCTCAAGACTCAGCCATACCACTCTTGGACATATACCCAAGGAATGCTCAATCATACCACAAAGAAACATGCTCAACTATGTTCATAGCAGCACTATTTGTAATAGCCAGAACCTGGAAACAACCTAGATGCCCAACAACTGAAGAATGGATTAAGAAAATGTGGTACATGTACACAATGGAGTACTACTCAGCAGAGAAAAAAATGACAGTATGAAATTTGCAGGCAAATGGATGGAACTAGAAAATATCATCCTGAGTGAGGTAACCCAAACCCAGAAGGACAAACATGGTATGTACTCACTCATAAGTGGATTCTAGATATAAATCAAAGAACAATCAATCCATGGAATCAGGGAGGCTATATGGCAGGGGGGACCCTAGGATGACTGTGGCTTAGAATAAGTTTTGGTTTTACTCAATAAATAAATAAACAAAACAAAAAAAGAGAGGGTTTTTCTGAATCAATGACGACAACAAGTCTCAGTGGATGGTGATCAACTAATACAAATGGCAATCTGATGTCCATATTGGAAGTGCTCTTGAGAGCAATGATGTTTCCAGAACAAAGCTATCACTCTCTTGTTTGAAGAGTGACAGATGACAGTGTAGACTGACTTTGAATCTGAGATTTTGAGGAAATGGCATTTTTTCAGTGTCCCAAAATTGATGTAATACTTCCTCATTTACTTTTCATTTGAAAGTCACTGTATCATATGTTATAGTGTACACCTGTTTTTAAGCAATTGATTAATGTAGTCTCAAACCAGAGAATCCAAAGAGGTGAAAGCACTGCAGTATTCCCTTAGCAGCTTTATGGTCCTTGCAAGTGACATTTACTTTCCTACATTTGGGAAAGTACAAGGAAGTGTTTGTGGGATTCACTGTCTGTATAATGGAGAATTTTGGAAGGATGTGCCTCTCCTGTTTCTTTCCTTGATTTTTTTCATCAATCTTAGATAGTTCATGTATTTTGAGAGTCATTTGTTTTCTATGTATTGACAGTGAATTTGTCATTCTTCTTAGGAGAAGTTGGATTGCCTCTTGAAGCTAATAATCATTGTATTGTTCAGGTACCAGATCAAACAGCTTTCAGAATTTGACCTACTCATCAACTACATCTTACCATGATAATGTCTTTTTGACATATTTGTTAAATGTTATGCTCCCCAGTCCTAACAGCCATCTCCCTCTTGAAGTATGTTGTGTTAAGGGTGTGTTTAGGTTTCATTACATTATTTGTTTTTATTAGCAATCTAAGAGCATTCACACACTTAATGTTAGTCATGAACAAAAACACAAGCTACTTCCAACAAGCATTCCAAACAGTTACATGAGCCAGGAAAACAATCAGTTGAAGAAAAAAAAGAGACAAGCATGTATACAGGGAACAGATAAAGAAGCAGGCACTCTTAAGTTTCTCAACTGAAACGTTGAAGAACGACATGTACTGCACTCAGAATATTTCAGTCAAATCAAATTTAAAACAAAACAAAAGAATATTTCATATTTTACTGAGACATGATGACAGGAAGAATTTTGGAATCATGATAGATCAGTTGAGTAAAGATGTTCACCAAGCAGTGTTTATTGAAACGGAAATTGAATGGAGAACTTTGTCCTAGTCTAGTAGTGATGCACACTATTCTCAAACAGAAATCAGGAAACGAATTCAAGATTGCCATCCACTTATCACTGTCTTTTAGAAAATACCTTATTTCAGAGACACACGTATTTCTCACAATACACAATTCCAAGATCTTATCCATCTTGGGAATGAGTGCAATTGCTCAAGATCCAGGAAAATATCTGCATTTGGAAGGGTTTCTAGGATTTCATACTTCATTCTATAATGTTGTGACTGTGCAAGGGTGAATCATAACCAAATTAATGATACACATCAAAGGAACTAGGTACTTGCCTAAGAATTCTTCATCACTTGGCAGGAATATCATAATGTCAGGCCTTCTCTCTCTTAACACATGTTCAATATGCTCTTGAATCCTGTGATAAAACAAGAAGTACAGCATATACATGCCATATTTTCTTCCTCTTGAGTAAAACTACCACTATCCTTTCAAAGTGACAACTCTCTCTTTTCCTTTATTGTCAAATGTGTTTAGACTGACTGCTTTGGAGGAAGCAATCATGAAGAAAAGGTGTCCATGCAAAATAAGACAAAAGTTAGGAAAGCAATGAACTACCTGAGTGTTTGTTGGAAAGAATGTATATGCTAGGATGTTTGTAGGGTATAGTTCATGAGACAGAGTTGTCTGGACACATTTCCATTCCTGATATATTTTATTTCTATTTTTTGTAGGTTAGAATCCCAGAGGGGTACTTATTCCTCAGGCAGGAGAGGTAAGCATCGAATATGATTCTCATGACCCAGTAACTCTTTACTAATAATGGAGATTTCTTAAAATCAGGATCTGTGACCTCAGTAGTTCAAGGAATTTGACTTCTATGATTTCATTCTCTTAACATTTATATTTGGATTCAGGCTACTTATCAAGTATATGACTTTTCAGTCCTCCATTATTGTATGTCTCATAGAGTGAAATTCCCTTCTCAAGCTAGTGACAAAGTAAACAAATATTATCATGGCTTGTATGCTTCTTTATTTAAAAGACCTCAGTTGTGTGAAGGTTATTCTGTAATGACTTTTTTGATCACCTCCACATTCATGCATTCAGTTCAAAGGTGATCTTCAAACGTTCAGTCTTAATGCCTCCTATGATTCTCTATCTTACTATCCTCTAAACTCTAAGCATCATACTACTGTTTATACCTTGTCTGATCATGTTCCATAATAATCAGTATGTCAACTACATACAGAGATTCTACAGAGATCTGTCCAGACTGTAGGTTCTTAGAGGATAGACAATCAATTTATTGATTTGGCTTATGTGATTTGTATAAATGTGGATTCTGAAAATGCTCATGCTGTGTTTTCATTACTTTTTTGTTTGCTTTGGATGTTACAGGTGACTCTAAGTATTTTTTATGGGAAATTACTCAAAACTTTTCTTTTGCTACATCTGACTTAAGTAAAGCATCTTACTGGACATTTATACAAAAGATTAGGATGTGGTAGAACTCTACATACCCACGACTAGACATACTGGCAAAAATCATTTTTATATTAAAAAATTGCCATTTAGGAATTCCTAATATTGAACCTTTGGGGAGTTATTTGAATAAATAAAACATGGTGTAATAACAAAGAAGTCTTAAATCAGACTCAAAAGACAAACCACAGTATTTGCCATTCTGAAATGCATTAGAGTTTATTAGTGACATATACAGACATTTTGTTTTGTTTTCTCTGTGGTTCCTGTCCTGACTATAGTAGAGAAATGTCCAAGATAGTGATGGTAATGGGACACAAGTTTCAGGATTCTACATAACAGTCACAGTTACAGGATGAACCTGAAGGTACATACTGAGCTGTGAGATAGAGGACAAAACCTTGAAGTATACTAGTTGGAGGAGAATGAGAATAAGGAGGAGGTGATGAAAGAATCTACCAAAAAGTTCTTGATGAATACATTCTAATATAATCTAACACATAGAATAATTATCAAAAGATATTTAAAGATAACTCATGGCATTTTAGATGCATTTTCAGAATATGTTTGTTTTATTTTCATGGAAATCAGATTTTAGAATGAGAAATCAAACAATAAAAATTGTCCAAAGTGTTTCTCTTCTTCTCAGTAACTATGGCACCGTAGAGGCTTTAATATGTTGTTTACCTCATTTATGCTGTAAGAAGCAGGAGACCATATATTCATACTATCTCTGGTTCAGCCCTCTATTGCAATTCTGAATAACCAGCCTGGTGCTCAATCCTTATTTTCCTTTCAAAGCTGAGGAGATTGGCTACTCTAGCTTCCACATTTCAGTGGAAGTATTCATGTGTTAAGAAAGGATTTGTTGGGCTCTGACGATAAGTCTCTGAGAATTATATTAATGGCAATCTGAAGTCCAGATAGGAGGTCTTCTTGAGGCAATGGTGTTTTCAGAGGATGGCTGGCACTCTTCCTATTTTTAGGATGACAGACAACAGTGCTGACTGTCTTTGTTCTCCTATATTTTGAGGAAATGTCAATTTTTCATGTTTAAAACTAGCTCCAATATTTGCATTTCTTTACATTCCATCTGAAAAGTACTGTGTTAAACAATGTTGTCAATCACCTTTAAGTTATTGACTCATGCAAGCATGAAAGAAAGAATCCAAAGAGGTGGCAGTAATGAAAACAATTACTGAACATCTCACTGGCTGCCCCATGGGAATTTTACATTCTTACATTGGGGAAACAGCAAGAAGAGATAATAGAAATTACTGCAAGCATAACTGACAATTTAGGAGGACTCTGCCTCTACTGCTCCTTTCCACAATTTGGCAACAATGTGAGATAATTCACCATGTTGTGAGAATAATTCCTTTTCTATATATTGTCAATGAATATATCTTTCTTACTGAAAGCTGTATTACTTTGGATGCTAATAGTTATCTTACTGTGAGGCACCAGATCAATCAGCTTTTAGAATTTACCTGCTTACCAAATACTTCTTTCCATCATAATGTCTTCTTGGCAAAATCATAATTTTTTGTTATGGTCCATGTCATAACTGCAGTCTGTGTTTGAAGTACAATGTGTGAAGTGTGGACTTTAGTTTCCTTACATTATTAGTCTTTATTGGTAAGCTGAACGCCTTCACACACACTGTAGGACACAAACACATCCTAATTTCAATAGTCATTCCACTCAGATCTATGATTCAGGAAAACATTCAGCTGAGTACACAAAGAGGCAAGCAGGTGCACAGAGAGAGTAGATAACAAAGCAGACACTCTAAGTTTTTCAAGGGAAATATTGAAAAACCACATACACTATGCTCAGAGTATTTGATTCTCATCAAATGAAAATTGAAAAAAATATATTTCAAATTTCACTGAGCTATGATAAAAGGAAGGAGTTAGGGCTCATGATAGATCAGTTGAATGAAGGCCTTCATGGAGCACTATTTTTTCAAAGGTATAAAAAAAGAATTCATAGCAAATGTATCTAATATATGCATGTCAAATCCTTTCCCTGCTTGAGTATAAGCAACACTATACTTTCAAAGAGACAACTCTCTAATATTTCATTGTCAAATGTGCTTAGATTGACTGCTTTAGATGAAGTGATTAGAAAGAAAAGGTTTCTTTGCAAGATAAACCAAACTTTAGAAAAGCAAAGGGTCTACTGCAGTGTTTGATGGGAAGGTTGTATTGGTAGGACAGCTGCAGGTGTGTCTAGCTAGGCATACAGAGTTGTATGGACACATTTCTAGCCCTAACATATTATAATTCTATTAAATTGTAGCTTAGAGTCCAGCAGAGCTACTTATTCCTTAAGTGAGAGAGGTGAGCAACAAATCTGATTCTGGTGACTTGGTAACTCTAGAATATAGTAGGGATATCTTAAAATCAGGATCTATAAAATCAATAGTTCAAGGAATATGACTAATATGATTACACTCCCTTGAAAATTGTGTTGAGATTAATGATAATTTATCAAGTTTATCATTTTTAACTCTTCCATTAGTTTAGGTATCATAGAGTGTAATTCCCTTTTCAAGCTAGTGACAAAGTTACCAAATTTTACCATACCATGTACGCTTCTTAATTTAGAAGACCCCAGTTGTGTTAAGGTTATGCTGTAAGGACTTTCTAGACCACCTGAAAATTTAAGCTTTCTGTTCAAATGTGAATTTCTGATATTCAGTCTTAAATCCTCCCTTGATTCCCTATCTTATTCTCCTTTAAATTCTATGCCACAGACTCCTTTTTCTTTCCTGTCTTATGCTGAGTAGTGCAACAGAAGCCAGTCCTGAATATAGGCTCCTAGAACACAGAGAATCAGGTTTACATGTTTGCCTTATTCAACATATATAAGAGGATACTGAACACACTCCCTCTGAGTTTTTACTACTATTTTGTTTTGTTTTTCAAGTTACAGGTGAATCTAGACGTTTTTTATGGGACATTACACAAAACTTGTGTTTTAGCATATTTGATTTAAGAAAAACATCTTACTGTACAATAGCACAAAAGAGGATGATATGCTCATGCTCAGACTAATTAGCAATAATCAATCTAGGGATCACTAAACTGAGTTTTTTTTTAATTAGGTGAATAAATACAACACGGTGTGATAACATGGAGATTTCATCCAAACTCAAACACCCTGAAAATGTATCTGAGATTATTGCTGAACATTTGCCAATCATTTTTTGCTTCCCCTGTGCTTTCTATTCAAAGAAACATGCAGGAAGATGATGGCATTGGGACACAAGCTTCAGGATTCAGAAGAGTATTGACAATTGAAGGATGAAATGGAATACTGGAAATACTGGGGTGTGAGACAGAGGACAAAATATTGAGGTAGAAAAGGAAGAGGAAACTGAGAGGCCGAGAGGAGAAGGAGGATGAGGAATAAGCTAACAAAAAATCTCCTGATAAATATATTGTCATGAAATCCAAAATGTGGATGCCTATTTAAAGATATGTAAAGATGGACAATGCCATTTTGATGACAGATACAATTTAGTTCTATATTGTCAAAAATTAAAATCCCAGAGGGCTAAAAATTATTCAGGTGGGAGAGGTAAGCAAGAAATCTGATACTGGAGACAGAATAACTATTAAGGCTGAAGATTTCTTAAAGAAGGGTATATGACACCAGAAGTTCAATGAATATTGTTTCTTTGATTTAACTCTCTTGATAGTTATATTTGGATTCATGCTAGAGTATACAAGTTTTCAATTTTCAGGTCTTGATTATTCTATGCCTCAGAGATTGGAATTCCCTTACCAAGCTAGTGACAAGGGAAACAAATATTTCCATTCCCTGTATGTTTCTTGATTTAAAAGATCTCAGAAGTGTGAAGGTTATTTTGTAATTACACGCAAGACCATCTCATAGCTCATGCATTCCATTCAATATTGAATTTCTGATGCTCAGTCTTGCAGACTCGTTATCTTTTTGTCCTTTGCAATCCATCAAACAAGCTACTATCTCTACCTTGTATGGTCATTTCCCTAATGCTGAGTAACACCACAGAAACCAGTATAGAATGTCAATCCTAGAACACTGAGGATCAAGTTTAGGTCTTTACCTTATCTGACTTGTATAGATTTAGATTCTGAAAATATCTGCTCTGAGTTCTCAATATCATTTTGTTTGCTTTGCAAGTTACAGGTGACTGTGAGTGTTTGTTCAGGGAAGTTACTCAAAACTTGTTTTGTAGTCTATCTGGTTTAAGACAAGCAATTTGAAGGACAGATACAGAGATGAAGAGGATGTAGCAGAACTCTAAATTCCCATGCTCTGAACAATTAGCAAGAATCAATATATGTATAGAAATCTTTGCATTAAGGGATTCCTAAAATTGAACTTTCATAAATAGAGGTGAATAAATACAATATCTTGTAAATACAGGAATGATTTTATCAGAACTCAAACACACACATCACAAGGCCTGCCAATGAAAATGCATCTATGATTATTTCTCACATATACCTATCATTTTTATGTTCTCCTTGAGTTTCTATCACATCGGTAGCAGAGAAACAAAAAGGAGGGTGCTTATTTGGAAAACAAGTGTGAGGTTTCAGTAGTGTTGACAGTTGGGAAAGCAACTGGAAAGCCCACACTGGGCAGTGAAACAGAAAAAAATCTATAGGCATTTAGAGGCAGAAGAGGTAGAGGAGTTTGAGAAAGAGGAAGAGAAGGAGCAGGCAGAAGAGGAAAAAGCTACTAAAAGTCCTGAATATTAGATTTTCATGAAATCCAAAAATTAGAATGCCTCTCTAAAAATATTAAATGGTAACCCATGACATGTTTAATGCCTATTTAACACATTTTGTCTTTTTTCTGATGGAAATCTGATTTCAAGATGAAAACTCATCCCATGAAAGTCCGCTAATGTGCTTCTCTTTGTTATCAGAACCTGTGGCACAATAGAGGATTGATATTGTTCATCTCATCCACGCTCTAAAATGCAGATGACAATTTTTTTTCTTGCAATATCTTGTTAAGGACCTCTGTTGAGGATGAAAACAACAAGCCTGCTGCACAATCCTGATCTTTCTTTTCAAAGCTAAAGAGAATAGCTGTCCCAGCATTGCCCTGGCAGTGGAAACAGTCATGTGCTGAGAGAGGGCTTGTCTGGATCAACGATGACAAGTCCATGAGATCGGTGATCAACTCATACAAATGGCAATCTGAGGTCCAGATAGGAGATCCTCTCAAGAACAATGATGTTTCCAGAATTTGGCCCAAACTCTTCCCCTTTGAAGGATGACAGAAAACAGTGCAGACTGGATTTGGTTCTTAAATTTGGACAAAATCACAATATTTGGGTGTGACAAACCTGTCCTAAAAATTGCTTCATTCCTTTCCATCTAGAAAGTACTGTAGTAAATATAGGGTGTACATTGCTTTTAAGTTATCCAATCATGTAAGCCTGAATGAAAAAATATCAAAAGATGTGGAAGCACTGAAAGAATCATTGAGCATCTCCTGGTATTCTCATGGGAATTTCACGTTCCCACATTGGCAAAAGGACAAGAAAGGATTACAGGACTCACTTCCACCAGAACAGGACTGTGCCTCTCCTGTTCCTTTGTACCATTTGGCCACAGTATGAGATAATTCACCATATTGTGAGAAAAAGTCATTTTCTATGTATTGTCACTGAATATACCCTTCTTACTGGAAGCTGTATTTTTATGGGTGCAAATAGTCATCTTACTGTGAGGCACCAGATCAAGCAGCTTTCAGATGTTGACCTGCTCACCAATCACATCTTACCATCATAATGCCTTCTTGACAAAATTATAATTTTTGATGAGGGTCCATGACTTAAGTGCATTGTGTTTTTGAGGCACAATGTTAGAAGTGAGGGCTTCAGTTTGTTTACATTTTGTGTAGGTATTAGTAAGTTGAGATCATGCACACACATCATAGGCCTCAAAGACTGCCACATGTTACTTCCAACAAGAATTACATTCAGAATCATAAGTCAGGAAAACAATTATCTGAGAATAGGAAGAGGCAAGCAGATAATTCGAGAGTAGATAACAAGGCAGGCACTCAAAGTCTCTGAAATGAAACATAGAAGAACCACCTGTGCTATGCCAAGATTATTTGAAATAGTACAAAAGAAAGATGAAACAATGACATGTTTATACATATATATATATATATATATATATATATATATATGACATTGTTTCATAGAGATTCTATAAAAAGAAGCATTAAGAGTCACGATAGATCACTCAAAGGGAACGTTCACACAGCAAAGTTTCTTGAAGTGGAAATAGAATTTTGAAACTTGTCCTAGTCTGGCAGAGATCCACACCATTCTCAAAGGGAAATGAGCAAAGGAGTTCATGTGTGCCATCCAGGTAACCTTCTCTTTTAGCAAATGCCTGTTTTCCGAGAAAATTGTCAACTCCACAGACCATAATTTCAAGATCATACCCATCTCTGAAGTGAGTGGAATTGCCCAAGATCCAGGAAACTATCTGCATTGGGAAGGGTTTCTAGGATTTCATACTTCATTCCGTAATCTGTGACATGCAAGACTCAATCATAACCAGTGGATATTACACATCAAGAGAGCAGGTGCTTGCCCGAGAATTCTACAAGACTTGGAAGGAATATCATGGATAGGGTCAAGCTTCCTGCCTCCCAAGAGCACACGTTCAATGTACTCTTGAACCTTGAAACAGAACATGATAGTGCAGTGGTAGGAGACGTGCTGGTGCTGACCAAACCTTTGGGAACCCAGGTTGCCGCCAATGCCCACCAATGGCTGGATAATCCTGAGAAATGGAATAAAATCAAGATGGTGGTTTCCAGAGAGGAAGTAGAGTTGGTCTATCAGGAAGCTATGTTCAATATGGCTACTCTAAACAGAACTGCTGCTGGGTTGATGCACACATTTAATGCTCACACAGCCACAGGTATCACAGGCTTTGGCATTTTAGGACACTCTCAGAACCTCGCAAAACAACAGAAAAGCGAAGTGTCCTTTGTCATTCATAACCTGCCAATCATTGCCAAGATGGCTGCCATCAGCAAAGCCAGTGGGCACTTTGGCCTCTTCCAGGGAACATCAGCTGAAACCTCTGGGGGGTTACTGATTTGTCTGTCAAGAGAACAGGTGGCCCGCTTTTGTTCGGAAATCAAATCTTCCAAGTATGGAGAGGGTCACCAAACATGGATCGTCGGCATCGTGGAGAAGGGAAACCAGACAGCCTGTATCATTGACAAGCCTCGCGTTATTAAAGTTCTACCTCGGGGAGCCGCTCCTGCTGCTGCTGCTCCTGCTCCTGAAAATTCCAACGCCGCAGCTGAGCCTAGTTTATGAAATGGAATAGCAGAAGTTGTTGGGGACTCAGAGCCATTCCACGCGCTCATGGACTGTCGCCCAAGGTTGATTTTAAGACCTTTGCAAAGGCTCTCTGCATAGTGCCTCCAGGTGCCCTTGCTAGTTCCATCCAAAACTGCCTGTATGTACATCTAGGGCCATAAGTAGCATTGGGGGAATGTGTGTTCATCTCTTGATTGTGGAGCAGGAAGCCTTTTCCCAAAACAAGATGAGACTATTCCAGGTTAAGGGATTTTTTCTTTGCACTGAGTTGATTCATTTCTGCACAGGGAGTCAGATTATTAAAATTACATACAGAAGAAGTAAACTGCAACATGAAAAGAAATTAGAGTTTGGACCAATATACTGATAAATCTAAATTGTTAGAGCTCTTACTGATTCATTGTCAAGTTTGTTATTAATTTTTCTGAGAAACTGCCTCTTTTCCTGTTCTAGACAAGAGTTGAGCAACTTGTCCAACTAGGAAAGGAAGACACAGTCCCCTGCCTTGGTCTCTGTTAATGATGTCTCCTCCTTCGACTCCCACTAAGGACTGGAAGAGACTGAACAAGCCTCAGAGCCAGGTGTTGGTGGTCATTAATATACTAAATCTTATGCTGAAAATTCCCGGAGATTTAGTTAATAAAGAAAATTTCTTACAGCTAAATAAATAAAAGGGACTTCGTTGAAAAACAAAACAAAACAAAAAAGTAAACAAAGCAAACAAAAAATCCCACTTGTGTGAAGGTTATTTTGTAATGACACTCAAGACCACCTCCTAGTTCATGCTTTCCATTCAATAGAGATTTTCTGAAGTTCAGTCATAAAGATTCCCAGATTCTCTATCTTTTTTCTCCTTTACAGTCTATCCATCAAATTACTAACTCTACCTTGCCTGGTCCTCTTCCCTAATGCTAAGTAACCAGTCAGAGACCAGTACCGAATGTCTGTTCCAGAGCACTGAGGATCAAGTTTAGTTCTTTACCTTATCTAACTTGGATAGATTTGGATTCTGAAAATACCCGCTCTGAACTTTCAATACTATTTTGTCTGCTTTGCAGTTACGGGTGACTCTAAGTGTTTGCTCAGGGAAGTTACTCAAAATTAGTGTTGTACTCTATCTGTTCTAAGACAAACACCTTCCAGGACAGATGTAGAAATGAGCAGGATGTGGCTGAACTGTAGATTCTCATGCTCTGACCAATTATCCAGATTGAATTTGTATGTAAAAATCATTGCCATTTAGAAATCCCAAAAACTGAACTTCTGTAATTTGATTTGAATAAATACAGCACAGTGTGATAGCAAGAGACATTTGATCTAGACTCAAACATCCACCACACAAGTCATGCCCCTTTAAATGACTCTGTGATCATTTGTGACATACACAAATTTATTTGTTGCTTTCCCTCGGGTTCCTATTATGACCGTAGCAGAGAAACATCCAGGAAGATGTTGGCTTTGGCACATTAAGTTCTAGATTCAGTAGACTATTAACATTTGAATGATCACCTGAAGGTTCCACACTTGACAGTGACAGAAGACAAATTCTAGGACTGGTATAGACAGAGAAGTTTGAGAAAGAGGAGGAGGAGGAGGAGGAGGAATAAGAGGAGAAATCTAACAAAAACTCCTGAATATTAGATTTTCATGAAACCCAAATTTTGGAATGCCTATCTAAACATATTAAATGGTGACCCATGTCTTTTTGATGACTATTTAATACATTTAGCCCTTTTTCTCATGGAAATCCTTTTTCAGGATGAAAAGTCATCCCATAAATGCCCTCTAATGTGTTTCTTTTTGTTATCAGTACTTGTGGCTCAATAGAGTACTGATACTTGCTCAACACATCCATGATCTTAAAAGATCACAATTTATTCTTGCAATAGCTGGTTCAGGACCTCTGCTTAGGACCAGAACAACAAGCCTGCTGCACAATCCTGATCTTCCTTTTCAAAGACAAAGAGAATAGCTGTCCCAGCTTTCACATGGCAGTGGAAATAGTCTCATGGTAGGAAAGGGTTTGTCTGGATCAATGATGACACCAAGTCTCTGAGGACAGTGATCAACTCATACCAATGGCAATCTGAATTTCAGATAGGAGATCCTCTCGAGAACAATGTTTTCAGAACCTGGCCAAAACTCTTCCCTGTAGCTAGAGTTTTCTGGCCTGGCCCACAGTCAGGACAAATCTCTGTCACTCACCAGTCCCACAGCCGCTCAGACCCAACCAAGTAAACACAGAGACTTATATTGCTTACAAACTGTATGGCCGTGCCAGACTTCTAGCTATCTAGTTCTTGCATCTTAAATTAATCCATTTTTAAAAATCTATACCTTGCCATGTGGCTTGTGGCTTACCAGAGTCTTCACATGCTGCTTGTCATGGTGGCGGCTGGCAGTGTCTCCTCCCACCTTCCTGTTCTCTCAATTCTCCTCTCTGTTAGTCCTGCCTATACTTCCTGCCTGGCCACTGGCCAATCAGTGTTTTATTTATTGGCCAATCAGAGCAACAGATTTGACATACAGACCATCCCACAGCACTTCCCCTTTGAAGGATGACAGAAAACAGTGCAGACTGGATTTGGTCTCCTCAATTTGGACGAAATCACAATATTTGGGTGTGCCAAACCTGTCCTAATATTTCCTTCATTCCTTTCCCTCTGGAATATACTGTACTAAACCATAGGGTATACATTCCTGTTAAGTTACTGACTCATACAAACCTGAATGAAAAAAATATCAAAAGATATGGAAGCAGTGAAAGAATCATTGAGCATCTTCTGACACTGCCATGGGAATTTCACATTCCCACATTGGCAAAAGGACAAGAAAGGATTACAGGACTCACTTCCACCAGAACAGGACTGTGCCTCTCCTGCTCTTTTGTGCCGTTTGGTCACAATGTGAGATAATTCACCATGTTATGAGAAAAATCCTTTTCTATATATTGTCACTGCATATACCTTTCTTTCTGGAAGCTGTATTATTATGGCTGCTAATAAACATGTTACCGTGAGGCACCAGATCCATCAGCTTTTTTAATTTTACCTGATTATTCAACACATCTTACCACCACAATTCCTTCTTCATGAAATTATTTTTTTTGAGCATCCATGTCTTAAATGCATTGTTTGTTTGAAGCACAAGGTTTGAAGTAAGGACTTTAATTTCTTTACATTTTTTGTAGTTTTTAATAAGTTTAGATCATGCACACACATCATAAATCTCAAACAATTGCACATGTTACTTCAAACAAGTATTGCACTGAGAATTATCAATCAGGAAAACAATCATCTGAGGATAGGAAGAGACAAGGGGGTACTCAGAGTAGATAAGAAGGCAGACACTCAAAATTTTTAAAGTGAAACATGGAAGAACCACCTGCACTGTGTTGTCATTATTTGAGTCACCACAAATGAAAGATGAAACTATATATATATATATACATGTGACATACATATACATATATATGTCATTTTTCATACAGATAAATTAATATGAATGTTTAGGAGTCATATTAGATCGCTTGAATGGACGCCTTCTCCTCACAAGGTGTATTGAAAGGTAAGATGAATCTTGAAACTTGTCCTAGTCTGGCAGTGATGCACACCATTCTTAATGAGAAATCAACAAAGGAATTCATGTTTGCCACAAAGGCATTCTTCCCTTTTACAAAGCGACTGTTTTCAGAGAAAACAGTATACCTCACAGTCCTTAATTTCAAGGTCTTACCCATCTCCCAAATGAGTGGAATTGCCAAAGATCCAGGAAAATACCTGCATTTGGATGGGTTTCTAGATTTTCATACATCATTCCATAATCTGCTGCTGTGCAAGTTTGAATAATTTCCCAGGTGATATTACACATCAATGGAGCTAAGTGATTGCTCAAAAATTCTATAAGACTTGTAATGAATATCTTAGCTATGGTCCATCTTCCTGCCTCCTAAGGCCCATATTCAATGTGCTCTTGAACCCTGAGATATAGCACGAAGTCTAAGATACAAATGCCATGTCTTCTTCCTGCTGGAGTACAACTACTGCTGTCCTTTGAAAGAGACATCTCTCTGTCTCTGTCTCTCTGTCTCTCTGCCTCTGTCTCTCTCTCCCTCTTTCTCTCCCTTCATTGCCTAATGGATTTAGACTGACTCATTAGAGGAAGGGATAGGTGAGAAAATGTGTCCTCTCAAGAGAAGCCAAAATTTAGGAGAGCAAAGAAATCACCTCAGTGTTTGTCAGTAATGTTTTGTGTGCTAGGATGGCTTCATGTTTTTACTAGTAAGGCATGGATTCTTACCTGGACACCTATTTGGGCCTGATATATTTTATTTCTATTATGTTGCAGGTTAGGATCCCACAGAGGCTACTGATTCTTCTTACAGAGAGGTAAGCCCCACATCTGATTTTCATGACCTGGTAACTCTTTTCTAAGGCTTGGGATTTCATGAAATTATTATCAATGGCCTCAGGAGTTCATGGAAATGATTTCTGTGTTTTACTCCCTTGAGAGATATGTTTGGATTCTTGATAAAATTATCAAGATTATCAATTTTCAGGTCTCCTTTATTCTATGTCATATTTTGAAATTTCCTTTATGAGCTAGTGACAAGCTAAACAAATATTTCCATTTTCTATATGCTTCTTGACTTAAATATCCCCATTGTATGAAGGTTATTTTTAATGACACTCAGGACCACCTCCTATCTTATGCTTTCCATACAATATTGAATTTCCAATATCAAACTTAAAGACTCACTGGATTCCCTATCTTTATCTATTTTTAAGACCGTCCATAAAAGTTCTATTTCTACCTTGTTTTATTCTCATCTCTAATGCTGAGTAATACCACAGTGATCAGTCCTGAATGTAAGTCCATATCCCACAATTAATCAAGTTAAGTTGTTTAGTTTATACCACTTGTGTTGATGTGGTTTCTGAAAATATGCCCTCTGATTTTTCAATACTATTTTGTTTACTTTGCAAGTTATAGTTGCCACTAAGTTTTTGATATGGGAAGTTTTCAAAATATACATTGTACTTTTTCCAATTTAAGAATAGCATCTTATTGGACATTTGCAGAAATTAGAAGGATGTGACAGAACTCTCAATTCCCATGCTCTGACTATTTAGCAAGTATCAATTAGTACATAAACATCTTTGCCATTTAGGTTTTGCCTTAAACCGAACTTTTGTAAATTGAGGTGAATAAATACAATATAATATGATAACAAAGATTTTAACAAACACACGCACCACATGGCCTACTCCTGAAAATGCATCTGAGTTCATTGGTGACATATGCTAATATTTTTGTTGCATCCCATCAGGTTTCTCTATGACCATCGCAGAGAAACATCCAGGAAGATAAGGGCTATTTTGCATGTTAGGATCCCAGTAGTGCTACTGTTCTTCATGGAGAAAGGGAAGCACTCAATTTGATTATCATGACCTGATAACTCTTTTCTAAACCTGGGCATTTCATGAAATTAGGGTCTGTGGCCTGTGGAGTACCTGCTCCCACCTTTTTCCAGGGTGTTCTTGAGTAGTGTTGGATAAGAGATTTAGATAGAAATATAGATTTGAGAGAGGTATATAGAACTTCAAGATGGCCTTGTTAGGGCATGAGTCCTTATCCCCCAGCCCCTTCTGTCTCTTCTTAAGGGTTTTTTAATGTAATGCTAAGCTGTGGAGCAAAATACCTCCTCCTAGCACAGCCAAGTGCAGTCCCTTCCAACCTCCTAGTAACCATGCACATTGATAATCCATCCCCTTATGCAGCCCTGCTGGGCAAAGCAAGCTCAGATCTCACTTGGAATCCTCTGTGTTCTCCCACAGGTCCCTCCTCTTAATTTTTTAAGGATTCCTTCAGGCCCCTCAGATAGACTGTGCCTGTATTAGGTCATCTTCTTCAGTTAGGCAAACCTTACCCATCTTAGAGATATACTTTCTATTAAGCATATTTGTGTCTCAGGTTGGCAGTTAACAAGAGGAATGTTGCTCATCTCTGATTACCAGTCTCTGGCAGAAGCAGGTACAGAGTTTTACTCAACTCTGAGTAGGGAGCTTGAAAGTAACAACCCAGTGATCCCTAGGCTGCTACACCCACAGTAAAGAAGTAGAGGATGATCAAAATAGAATGTTCTGTTTTGAATGGGTCTTAAGATGTCTATAATGAGCCGGGCGGTGGTGGCGCACGCCTTTAATCCCAGCACTCGGGAGGCAGAGCCAGGCGGATCTCTGTGAGTTCGAGGCCAGCCTGGTCTCCAAAGCGAGTTCCAGGAAAGGCGCAAAGCTACACAGAGAAACCCTGTCTCGAAAAACCAAAAAAAAAGATGTCTATAATGGCATATGCTATGCCAAGCTCTTTTTTAAATCAAGAGACTCTTGATGCAAAGTATATCAAATAAACTGCATCGAACTTAAAGATTCCCTTCACTCCACCAAACACTGGTTCATTAATATCAACATAATTCTAGTATGAATTGCTATACATACTTAGTACTTGCATAACTATTTACTATATGTATTTAAACTCCTTACAAACTTATAATCAAAAGCAAACACTCTTTAGGACTACCTCTTAAACTTTAGGAAACATCTAAAACAGATCTCTTAATAGAACTATTATCAGTATACATATTTAAACTTACATTCTATAAGACTACTTTATAAACCTTAGCAAACATCTAAAAGAGATCTTTTAACTCAACTATTTACATTATCTTCCAACAATAGAGCGTACATAAATTGAGAAACATAATAGTTCAAATTGCAGGTAAACTCAAAACTGCTTCATTTCTGAATTCACAATCAGTTTTGATAACATCCTTGAAAGTTCCCCTGACAGTTGTACACAAGAGCCTAATTCATCAGTGGCTCTAGAGTCATTGTATCTGACTCCCTTGACTCTGGAATTTCATGAGTGTTGTTGCTATGTGGCTATAACTTTTGTTGCTGAGGGCTGAAACACTCAGTTCTGGTGGGCTGTAACACTTAGGACAATGTCACACCCCCAAAGTCACATTTCCTGCTGGCCCTTCTAGCCATTCCAGAACCAGGAGATATTTACACATCATGTGGTTGCCATCAGGGTCTGTCCCTTCACTCAACTCGTTGCAGCTCCCTGAGTGCCACAATTCAGGTAAAGGTTGCTGAAACTTCACTCATCTAAATCACAACTTTTGGTTAGCTCTACCAAGAAGCCTCACCTCAGAGCGAGGGTGGAATTACCACACTGAGCTGCCATAAAGCTCTTAGAAAAAACTTCCTCCATAGCTGTTCAGCACTATCTCAAAGGAGCCTGCATTGATTTGCTGCTAGTCAAACAAAGGCAGTGTGGCTCCAATTTCTGTTTCCTTTCAGTTTTTACTTAGTAGTGACAAAATGTTTGTCCCCAAACTCCTAAGCAGTCTGAACCTCCTCTTTCCCCAGACTGCAGGATGGAACCTAAATATCAGGAACCTAAGTATCTAGAGGAGCCTCACTGGTGTTGAAATTCCTCTGTTCCATACTCCTAACCAAATGCTCAGGGAGGCAGCAAGTTTCTGATTGTACAGTGTTCCCCTTTCTTAATTTTCTAAAGCTGCTTTTTAAAATTGCCATTAGCCCTTTTAAGGATACCTTGTCTTTGACAGATTTTTATTAGCCCACTGTTTCTGACAAGATTATTTGTTCATAGAAGCTGCTAATGCCAAAAGGAATTAAGAAAATAGAGGTGTCGTCTTATTTGTTTCCATGATTTAGCGTTTTCACTATGTTCACTAACTCCTCACTAACATCAGAGCAATCACTAAGCGCGTGTTCGAATTTAGCATTGTTTACTTATAGGGCACTCTCAAGTGAAGTAACTCTATTTTGAAAGACAGCTAGATTTTCTGGAGTTTCGTCCCCATCTACAAAGCAGTCATTCCTTTCTGAATATGTGCTTCCTTGTTCCACCAGTAGACTGGCAAAGCAATCACTCACTGCAGGCTATTATTCAAGAGACAAAGAATTTCTTTATCTTCCCATAAGTGTTTTTCATGCCTAAAGCAGTTTTCCAGTGTATGAGCCAATTTTCCTTGCTTTCTTAAGGGTTTCCAGGTGACTTGTTGATAAACAACAAGCTATTGGCCTCTTAGTTCTCAAGAGTTAAGACTAAGCTTTTTAATAGGACTTGGAAAAAAACTGCATTTTAAGCAGGGGGAAAAAACAGTTTTTGAGCAGTATCACCATTTTGAGCTGAAAAACTACATTTCCCATATTGCCGTTCTCTATATCATCCCATGGTTATGGATGATGTTACAGACTACATTTCCCATGCTGCCTTTCATGTAGTTCTGCACTCCCATTTCTGTTTTACTTTTTTCCCCTAAGCTTGAATTAGGACACTTGTATTACCATTTGATAACTGTCACACTCTGATCAGTATTTTCACCAGCCACTCTTTCTGGAGCTGGTCACAACTGTCTGCAAGCATGCAAACAGGCATTTTGGTGCCAGAAGTAAAAACCCCTTGGGGCTTGCTCCTCTGCCATACTGGGTCAGTGAAAAAAATGAAAGTTCCTGAAATAAAACTCTTTTTAGCCTTGTCAGAGAGGTTCCCTCCCAGGCAGATCTTGGACTTGTCCTGGCTTATCTCCTTTCCCAGATACAGAATCCCTAATGCCATAACTGAGGCTCAGCTTCACTGCTTCATTCATCCCAGGAGCCCCTCCCCAGGTCCCACACTGCCTCTGTTGTGTCTCCACACTTCAGGGAGGAAGCTGCCCAATAGGCTCTCTGTGGCTCTCTGCCCACACTTTCCCAAGCATCTAGGGCTAGGCTGTAGCTGCAGGGGATGGTGGCTGCTCTTTTTCTCTAATTGGAAGGAGAAACAGGACTAGCAGACAGGATTTGCCATATTTCAAGAGGTTTTTTTGTTTTTTTCTAGAACAATTGCAGGTAATTTTCCAATTCTGATGGATGTTTCTTACAGGTGAGTTAAATTTTTGCCTTACAGAAAGAGAAAATATCTGAGAAAAAAAGTCTGAAAAGCTTTTAATTTTTTAGAGAGAGATTACTATGTCTTTCCCAAGAAAGCTTTCAGTTTTTGAGAGAAACATTATTAAGTTTTCCTGAAAACTTCTGTTTTCTTTAATTTTGACTTCGTGACCAAATGGAGACTAATTTTGCTGGTATGATGTTTTCATACAGTGCCAGCATCAGCAGAGTGAAAAGTTTTATTTCATCCACATTTGTCTCAGGGAAATTTCTTTCCTCTAACACTCAGGACTTAGATTTAAGCTATCCACAGGCCAAAAGTTTCCATAGGAACCCTTTTCTGCCAGTTTTTCTCACTTTTGATAGACTTTTTCTCTGACTTTTCCCCAGGATTTTGCATTCATAGCCCCATAGTTGGAAAACTAAGGAAATATTTCTTGTCTTGTTGCTTATCTTAATCTAACTTACCCTTAGCTTCCAATTATCCAATATTGCTAATTCTACTCTTATTATAAATTTATTCTTACATTATATTCTTACATTTTACCTTATGTTATTTCTTTAATATTTTATAGATAGAATTTAAGGGAGAGAGAGAGAGAGAGAGAGAGAGAGAGAGAGAGAGAGAGAGAGAAGAAGAAACCTTGATAGCAAGGAATATACACTGGAGCCCCACTTTTCAACTTCAACATTTCCCCAAACTTTCACTCCCAAGAATAAAATATCATGGCCATTATTTATCAGCATGACTAACACAATGCCCCCTGACATGCCTTTCACCAAGTCTCTAATTTCTGTTCATGGTGCCATTTGTGAGGGGCCCATTCCCACTTGTTTCCACAGGGTATGCTTGAGCATGGAGGAATGAGAGAATTAGAGAGAAATATAGAGATATAGAGGGGAGTGAGACAGATAGAAACACAGCATAAACTCAGGAATATATATATATATATATATATATATATATATATATATATATATATATATATATATATATTCATTATTTCCTATGGACACCATAATATGAAGCTTAGAAGTCATGATAGATCAGGTGAATGGATACATTCATCTAGCAAACTTTAATGAAAGAAAATTGAATGGTGAACATTGTCTAAGTCTGCGAATGATAAACACCATTCTCGTAGAGAAACAAAAGTAATTCATGCATGCCATCCATGTATTCTTCTCTTTTAGAAAATGTGTGATTTCAGAGAAACCAATATTCCTCACAGTACATTATTTCAAGATCTTACCCATCTCTGAAATGAGTGGAATTGCATGGGATCCAGGAAAATATCTGCATTTGGAAAGGTTTCTAGGATTTCATATTTCATTCTATAATGACATTGCTATACAAGTTTGAATCATACCCCAGGTGATGTTATACATCAAGGGAGCTAGGTGCTTGCACAAGAATTCTCCAAGATTTTTAAGGAATAGCATGCATAGGATCATACTTCCTCCCTTTTAAGATGACATGTTCAATGTGCTCTTGAATCCTGAGAAACAAAAAAACAATCTAAGAAATAAGTACCATAACCTTCACCTACTAGTACAACAACAATAATTCTTTCGAAGGGAAAACTCTCTCTAAATTAATTTGTTCCCTAATGAGTTCAGACTGTATACTTCAGAAGAAGCAATCTGGAAGAAAAGAGCTATGGAGGAAGCCCTGGCACACAATGTTTTTTGTGTCTCAAATGCAGCATAGCTCCACACTCGGGACCTGGAGCAATGATGACAAATATATACCATGAAGAGAGATGATGACATAATCATGCTAAATAAATTACTAAGAAGACCGGGCTACATGGGGGGGTGGGAGATGGGGCCTAACGTCCTTGGGGAATTCCTTGAGTCTCATGGCACAGGCCATTATTCTCTGCCTTGTTTCTCCATTTGAGGAATCCTATAATGTTCAGGTTCACAACCATAGGAGAGAATTAAGAAGAAAATTGATTCTCAAGGTTTCCTTGAAGAGATTTGACCAGGATTGACTTTTGTAAAAAGTTCCCATGGACAAGTCCCACAACAGCACTGGGAGCCCTAAAAAGCCCAGTTTCACAAATGGAAACTCCTAAAATGTCTATGTGCACAGACCTAAGAGAGGCATGACTGGTTTATCAAAAGCACCTTGTGTGACTATCAACACTTGTGCAAGGCTTTAGAGGGCAACACAGTTCTCATGTCTTCTCTGCTGTATTTCAGTGATCTGGGATGCCAACACAGAGCTCACAATATCTGATATCACAGGTAACTGGAAAAGTCTGTCCATGGACCAGGATCTCCAAAGTTCATATGCCTTTGCCATCTAAAGTCTCTGACACCCCATGAATCTTTTAACTTAGAAGCACAACCTTCAAGAACTGGTGTGATTGTGGGAATATTCTACACCTCAGGCCTGTAGGTACAGAATGGCAAATAAAAATACCCTCCTGGCCTTAGACAATTCCAAAGGAATTGGACAGGAGCCACTTATTAGGGACTGTAGGAGACCTATAGGTGAAGTCAGGAGGCTCAAAGCTTCTCTGGTTCATGCCCCAGGGATAGAGAAATTTACACTTCACTTTATTTCCCTGCCTAGTTTTATCCTTGTGCCTCCCATCCAGATTGAGATGGGCAGGTGAAGACCTTCAAGGTCGCATTGTGACAAAAGGCTTGAGAACCACATACTTGCTGAAAGGGCTTTCAGAAAACACCATTTGGTACATCCTAGAACAATGCTCACTTCAAGGGCAAATTGGGAATAGAGAAAACTCCAACATTCTACTGCTGGACAGTGGCACCAAGGCATTCCTATCCCTGTGATTTAGTGAACACACATGATTGGCCTATCATCCCTCAAACCACAGGAGCCAAAGCATGATCATGCAACAGAGCAGGCATTCTTTTCCTGGCCTAAAGTACATGAACTGTGCACTGTTTTAAGACCTTCTCAACATTAGGCATTTGTAATGAATTTCAGCTCCATGCATATCCTACAAACCATGAACAAAAAAAATTCTGTGACCACAGTGATGTGTAATTTCCCAAGGGGTCTAGAGTAGGCAGCAAAACAGGCTGGGAGGACACACAGAAGATTTCTGAGAGAACAGATCCTCAAGTAGCAATTTATCTGTGGGTCTCAACATTTAAATAGATAGTGCTCAATCATGGAGAGAAGATGACAGGTCTCTGAATTGGTGGAGCCAACATAAGAATCACAAGGAGAAAAGTATAAAAAGCCCTGCATAGTGTCTTGACAATTGTCATCAGTCTAATGCTAAGAGTCAGAGTATTAGGAGAAAGGTGCCTTTATTAAAACACTGAAGTTAAGTCTTGGGCAGGTGAGAAAGGAACCTATCTCTAAGTGTGTAGCAGGACACACTATGGCTCAGATTTTCAAAGGGCCAGAAATTTACTGCTCTGTAGCATGCCTTCAGACCATGGTCACTTCCCTCAGACCATGCAATGGCATCAAAGAGTCCATATCAAGAGTACCCTGATATCCTCCCTTTCTTTTTCCCCCAAAAAATACCCTTATAGAGAAGACACCTCATTCTGCTGGATCCCTTGAAGCAGATTTCAGCACGCTGGGTTGTATATTAGGCCTAAACTTCTCATGGCCAGGGCCCATATCAGTGCTGGCAGCCTTGGTAAGCCATGTTGTTTGTGTCCTAAAACCATGAGGAGCTGTGCTCTCTGGAGACCTGGGTCTATGATGACAAACCAATGTCATATAGAGAGATGATGACATAAATATCATGCTCAATAAGACCATGGTGAGGCCCAGGCTGCGGTTCAGGGGAGAAAGAGGTGCCTGGTTTCCTTGTGGCTTCTTTGAGGCTCAATTTGCAGGCCTTGATATCCCTAAGCCCTGATTGCCCACCTGAGGAATCCTATGCTATCCAGTTGCAAATACCCCTGAGGGCTCCATTCAAAGCACATTGTGTGACTCTCTACCCTTGTGCAAGGTTTTAGTTGCCAACACACTGCTCAGGTCCCTGTTTCCTCTCATGTTTTTCAGTGATCTGGGATTTTGTTTCAGAGTGTGAAGCATCCTGGTACATGTCAGGTAAGTGGAAGAATAAGCCCAAGGGCTGGTATCTGTATGAGTCCTGTGCGTTCCCCTTCTTAATCCACTGACACCCCAAGAATATTTCCACTTTAGAAGCACAGCCTCCAGGCTCTGGCCTGATTGTGGCAATATTCTACCCCTCAGGCCTTTGGGTGCAGAATGGCAATTCCATGCACACTCTGTCCTGGACAATTCCAAGGGAATTGGACAGGAGTCACTGATCAGGGAATGCAGGGAAATGCCCATAGGTGGAGTCAGGAGACTCAGAGCTTCTCTGTTTCATGACACAGGTATAGAAAACACTTCACTTTTCTTCCCCGCCTAGTTTTATCCTTGTGGCTCCCATCCTGAATGGAAGGAGCATGGGAAGACCTTCAAGGTCACATTGTCACAGAAGGATTGAGAGCCACACCCTTGCTGGAAGGGCTTTCATGAGGAGCCATCTGGCATAACCTTCACATAATGCTACACCCTGGCCACTTCTTGGGCACATTGGGCAGAAGGACAATTTGAACATTCCATTGCTCCTCAGTGCCACTAAACATTCCCTACCCATGGGACTTGTGACCCCACTTGATTGACCTCCCATCTGAAAGGCCACAGGAGTCAATATTGGATTGTGTATCAGGGCTGGCATTCTCTTCCTGGTCCCAAGTCCATGAGTTGATTGTTTGAGACTCTCACAAAAGTAGGTTTTTACAATGAATTTTTGTTTAATGTATATCCTATAAATTTGTAAGAACACACTTTACTGAGCACTGTGATTTTGAATTTCCCCTGGGGTGTAGAGCAGGCAAGTTAAACATGCTGGCTAGCAGCAAATGATGCCCCTGGAAGAATGTATTTTTATGGAGCAGTTTTTCTGTGGGTCTCAGCCTTCATATAGATAGTGCTCTAATATGGATAATTAATCTAAGTTCCCTGACTGCATGGGACCAATGCAGGAACACAAGGAAAAATACCTACCTGGCTCTCCATCGTGTTGTGACAATTGTCATCAGTCTAATGCTAAGTGTCAGAGGCGGAGGGGAAAGTTGCCTTTTCGAAACACTAAAGTTAAAATTTTGGCCTGCACAAAAGATACCTATCACATACTGTGTAGCACGACTCACTGTCTGAATGATTTTCAAAGGTCAGAGATTTACTGATTCCTAGCATGTCTTCAGACCATGATCACATTCCACAAACCATGAAGGCTTATCAAAGGCCCATCTCACACATTCCCTGACATACTCCCCTTTCTCCTTACGCAACAGGTGCCCCTTTGAAGAAGAGATTCCATTCAGTGGGACGATTCAAAGCAGATTTGACCAGAATGGTCTATATTGGGGCATAAACTTCTCATGGCCAAGGCCCTCATCACCTCTGGAAGCCCTGGTATGCAATGTTGGTTGTTATTAAAAATGTATGTATAGCTGTGCTCGCAGAAGCCCTGGGTCTATAATGACCATCCTGTGACATGAAGAGAGATGATGACATAACAATCACGTGCCGCCGGGCGGTGGTGGCGCACGCCTTTAATCCCAGCACTCGGGAGGCAGAGCCAGGTGGATCGCTGTGAGTTCGAGGCCAGCATGGGCTACCAAGTGAGTTCCAGGAAAGGCGCAAAGCTACACAGAGAAACCCTGTCTCGAAAAACAAAACAAAAAACAAAAAAAATCATGTGCAAAAGAATGATGCTTATGACCTCACTGAAGTAGAGGTGAGAAAGAGCTGCCTCATCTACTTGCGGCTTCCATGATTCCCAATTTATAGGCCCTGCTCTCCCTAAGCCATATTCCCCACCTTGGTAATCCTATGCTCTCAATTTGCAAATACCTAGCAGAAACATGAGTGCTCCATTCAAAAGACCTCTTGGGACTCTCTAAATTTGTTCAAGGCTTTATTTGCCAACACATGGCTTATGTCCCTGTCTCCTCTCCTGTCTTTCAGTGACCTGGGATTTGTTTCAGAGCCCAATGCAAGCTGGAACATTTCAGGTAAGTGGAAGAATATGCCCAAAGTCCGCAATCTCTACAGGTCCTATAACTTCCCTTTGAAAAAGCCTTGACAAACCAAGAATATTTCCATTTTAAATACTCATTCTCAAGGCTCTGGCCTGAATGTGGCAATGTTTGACCTCTCAGGCCTTTGGATGCAGAATGACAATTTCAAATGCACACCCAGTCATGGATAATTCCAAGGAAAGTGGAAAGTAGCCACTAGTCAGAGACTGTAGGAGAATGACCACAGGTGGTGTAAGGAGGCTCAGAACTTCTCTGGTTCATGTCACAGCAATAGAGAAACATACACTTCACTTTACTTCCCTGCCTGGTTTTATGCTTGGGCCTCCGATCCTGATTTGAAAGGCAGTAAAGTACCTCAAGATTCTATGCTACAGAAGGAATGTGAGCCACCTCCTAGCTGAAAGGGCATTCAAGAGGAGCCATCTGGTATACCCTAAACATATAGATAGTGCTCTAACATAGAGAACTGATGAAAGGTTCTTGGTGATGACTTGGTGGGGACCAAGGCAGGAATCACAGAAAAACTCAAGTTAAAATTTGGGCTGGCGAGAAAGGCACCTATGCCTTACAGTGTGGCAGGACACACTATTTGATTTCCCATTGGCCAGAGATTTCCTAAACCTTGTCATGCGTTCAGACCATGGTCCCATCCCACAGACCGAGCAGTGTCATCAGTGGCCCATCTCCAGAGTGCCCTGACTTCCTCCCCATTCTTCCTCCCAAAAAGGTGCCCTTAGGAAGAAGAGAACTCATTCTGCTGCATCCCTTGAAGCAGAGTTCACCAGGCCGAGCTGTCCTTTGGGCCTAACCTTCTCACGGCCAAGGCCCTCTTCAGCACTGGCAGCCCTGGTAAGCAATGTTGTTTGTGTCCTAAACGCATGTGTAGCTGTGCTCTCCGGAGACCTGGGTCTATGATGACAAACCTATGTCACGAAGAGAGATGATGACATAAAAATCATGCTCAATAGGATTACGCTGAGGCCCAAGCTGCAGGGCAGGAGAGAAACAGGTGCCTCGTCTCCTTGTGGCTTCCTTGAGGCCCAATTCTCAGGCCCTGCTTCCCGAAGCCCTGTTTCCCCTCCTGGGGAATCCAAGCTATCCAGGTGCACATACCTAGGAGAGCCCTGAGGGCTCCATTCCAAAGCACCTGGTGTGACTCTCCAGCCCCGTGCAAGGCTTTAGCGGCCAACACGCTGCTCATGTCCCTGTCTCCTCTGCTGTCTTTCAGTGACCTGGGATGCCGTTTCAGAGCCCGAACCATCCTGGCACATTTCAGGTAATTGGAAATATCAACCCAAGGGCTGGGATCTCGAAACATCGTGTACCCTCGCCTTCTAAAGCCTCTGACACCCCAAGAACCTTTCCACCTTAGAAGCAAGGCCTCCAGGCTCTGGCCTGATGGTGGCAATCTTCTACCCCTCCGACCTATGGGTGCAGAATGGCAATTCCAAATGTATACACTGTCCTGGACAATTCCAAGGAAATTGGACAGGAGCCACTGATCAGGGACTGCAGCGCAATACCCATAGGTGGAGTCAGGAGGCCCAGAGCTTCTCTGGTTCATGGCACAGGCATAGAACCAGTTACCCTTCACTTGACTGCCCCGCCTAGTTGGATCCTTGCACCTCCCATACAGATTAGGTAGGATGGGCAGGGGAAGACCTTCAAGGTCACACTGTGACACAAGGCATGAGACCCACATCCATCATGAAGGGGCTTTCAGGAAGGGCCATCTGGCACACCCTAGAGCTCACCGTGAGCCGCGGCAACTTCTTGGGCATATCGGACTTAGGGACATCCCCAACATTTTACTGACGGACAGGGCCCACAAAGCGTTCCCTACCCCTGTGCCTTAGAGAGGCAACTTGATTGACCTCCCAAACAGAAGGCCACAGGAGCCAAGGCGGGATTGTTTTTCGGGGCAGGCATTCTCTTCCTGGCCGCAAGGCCAAGAGCCCTGATTGTTTTCAGACCCTCTCAACCGAAGGCATTCTCAACGAATGTCAGCCCCATGCATATCCGACAAAGCTCGAAAAACACACTTCTGTGACCACTGGGATGTGGAATTTCCCCAGGGGTGTAGAGGAGGCTAGTGACACAGGCTGGGGACCAGCAAATGAATGGATTTTTTTATGGAGTGATTTATCTTTCGGTGTCAGCCATTATATACATATATATAATCATTCATTTATTTATTTTTTATTTATTTGTTTGTTTGTTTGTTCGTTTGTTTGTTTGTTTATTTATCTGTACATATATATGGTTCTCTAACTTGGAGAACTGATGAGAGGTCTCTGACTTGGTGGGGCCAAGGCAGGAATCACAAGGAGAAAAGATGTAATTAGCTCTGTAGAGTATCTTGACAAGTGTCATCAGTCTAAGTCTAAAAGTCAAAGCACGAGGGGAAAGGTGCCTTTACGGAAAAACTCAAGTTAAAATTTGGGCTGGCGAGAAAGGCACCTATGCCTTACAGTGTGGCAGGACACACTATTTGATTTCCCATTGGCCAGAGATTTCCTAAACCTTGTCATGCGTTCAGACCATGGTCCCATCCCACAGACCGAGCAGTGTCATCAGTGGCCCATCTCCAGAGTGCCCTGACTTCCTCCCCATTCTTCCTCCCAAAAAGGTGCCCTTAGGAAGAAGAGAACTCATTCTGCTGCATCCCTTGAAGCAGAGTTCACCAGGCCGAGCTGTCCTTTGGGCCTAACCTTCTCACGGCCAAGGCCCTCTTCAGCACTGGCAGCCCTGGTAAGCAATGTTGTTTGTGTCCTAAACGCATGTGTAGCTGTGCTCTCCGGAGACCTGGGTCTATGATGACAAACCTATGTCACGAAGAGAGATGATGACATAAAAATCATGCTCAATAGGATTACGCTGAGGCCCAAGCTGCAGGGCAGGAGAGAAACAGGTGCCTCGTCTCCTTGTGGCTTCCTTGAGGCCCAATTCTCAGGCCCTGCTTCCCGAAGCCCTGTTTCCCCTCCTGGGGAATCCAAGCTATCCAGGTGCACATACCTAGGAGAGCCCTGAGGGCTCCATTCCAAAGCACCTGGTGTGACTCTCCAGCCCCGTGCAAGGCTTTAGCGGCCAACACGCTGCTCATGTCCCTGTCTCCTCTGCTGTCTTTCAGTGACCTGGGATGCCGTTTCAGAGCCCGAACCATCCTGGCACATTTCAGGTAATTGGAAATATCAACCCAAGGGCTGGGATCTCGAAACATCGTGTACCCTCGCCTTCTAAAGCCTCTGACACCCCAAGAACCTTTCCACCTTAGAAGCAAGGCCTCCAGGCTCTGGCCTGATGGTGGCAATCTTCTACCCCTCCGACCTATGGGTGCAGAATGGCAATTCCAAATGTATACACTGTCCTGGACAATTCCAAGGAAATTGGACAGGAGCCACTGATCAGGGACTGCAGCGCAATACCCATAGGTGGAGTCAGGAGGCCCAGAGCTTCTCTGGTTCATGGCACAGGCATAGAACCAGTTACCCTTCACTTGACTGCCCCGCCTAGTTGGATCCTTGCACCTCCCATACAGATTAGGTAGGATGGGCAGGGGAAGACCTTCAAGGTCACACTGTGACACAAGGCATGAGACCCACATCCATCATGAAGGGGCTTTCAGGAAGGGCCATCTGGCACACCCTAGAGCTCACCGTGAGCCGCGGCAACTTCTTGGGCATATCGGACTTAGGGACATCCCCAACATTTTACTGACGGACAGGGCCCACAAAGCGTTCCCTACCCCTGTGCCTTAGAGAGGCAACTTGATTGACCTCCCAAACAGAAGGCCACAGGAGCCAAGGCGGGATTGTTTTTCGGGGCAGGCATTCTCTTCCTGGCCGCAAGGCCAAGAGCCCTGATTGTTTTCAGACCCTCTCAACCGAAGGCATTCTCAACGAATGTCAGCCCCATGCATATCCGACAAAGCTCGAAAAACACACTTCTGTGACCACTGGGATGTGGAATTTCCCCAGGGGTGTAGAGGAGGCTAGTGACACAGGCTGGGGACCAGCAAATGAATGGATTTTTTTATGGAGTGATTTATCTTTCGGTGTCAGCCATTATATACATATATATAATCATTCATTTATTTATTTTTTATTTATTTGTTTGTTTGTTTGTTCGTTTGTTTGTTTGTTTATTTATCTGTACATATATATGGTTCTCTAACTTGGAGAACTGATGAGAGGTCTCTGACTTGGTGGGGCCAAGGCAGGAATCACAAGGAGAAAAGATGTAATTAGCTCTGTAGAGTATCTTGACAAGTGTCATCAGTCTAAGTCTAAAAGTCAAAGCACGAGGGGAAAGGTGCCTTTACGGAAAAACTCAAGTTAAAATTTGGGCTGGCGAGAAAGGCACCTATGCCTTACAGTGTGGCAGGACACACTATTTGATTTCCCATTGGCCAGAGATTTCCTAAACCTTGTCATGCGTTCAGACCATGGTCCCATCCCACAGACCGAGCAGTGTCATCAGTGGCCCATCTCCAGAGTGCCCTGACTTCCTCCCCATTCTTCCTCCCAAAAAGGTGCCCTTAGGAAGAAGAGAACTCATTCTGCTGCATCCCTTGAAGCAGAGTTCACCAGGCCGAGCTGTCCTTTGGGCCTAACCTTCTCACGGCCAAGGCCCTCTTCAGCACTGGCAGCCCTGGTAAGCAATGTTGTTTGTGTCCTAAACGCATGTGTAGCTGTGCTCTCCGGAGACCTGGGTCTATGATGACAAACCTATGTCACGAAGAGAGATGATGACATAAAAATCATGCTCAATAGGATTACGCTGAGGCCCAAGCTGCAGGGCAGGAGAGAAACAGGTGCCTCGTCTCCTTGTGGCTTCCTTGAGGCCCAATTCTCAGGCCCTGCTTCCCGAAGCCCTGTTTCCCCTCCTGGGGAATCCAAGCTATCCAGGTGCACATACCTAGGAGAGCCCTGAGGGCTCCATTCCAAAGCACCTGGTGTGACTCTCCAGCCCCGTGCAAGGCTTTAGCGGCCAACACGCTGCTCATGTCCCTGTCTCCTCTGCTGTCTTTCAGTGACCTGGGATGCCGTTTCAGAGCCCGAACCATCCTGGCACATTTCAGGTAATTGGAAATATCAACCCAAGGGCTGGGATCTCGAAACATCGTGTACCCTCGCCTTCTAAAGCCTCTGACACCCCAAGAACCTTTCCACCTTAGAAGCAAGGCCTCCAGGCTCTGGCCTGATGGTGGCAATCTTCTACCCCTCCGACCTATGGGTGCAGAATGGCAATTCCAAATGTATACACTGTCCTGGACAATTCCAAGGAAATTGGCCAGGAGCCACTGATCAGGGACTGCAGCGCAATACCCATAGGTGGAGTCAGGAGGCCCAGAGCTTCTCTGGTTCATGGCACAGGCATAGAACCAGTTACCCTTCACTTGACTGCCCCGCCTAGTTGGATCCTTGCACCTCCCATACAGATTAGGTAGGATGGGCAGGGGAAGACCTTCAAGGTCACACTGTGACACAAGGCATGAGACCCACATCCATCATGAAGGGGCTTTCAGGAAGGGCCATCTGGCACACCCTAGAGCTCACCGTGAGCCGCGGCAACTTCTTGGGCATATCGGACTTAGGGACATCCCCAACATTTTACTGACGGACAGGGCCCACAAAGCGTTCCCTACCCCTGTGCCTTAGAGAGGCAACTTGATTGACCTCCCAAACAGAAGGCCACAGGAGCCAAGGCGGGATTGTTTTTCGGGGCAGGCATTCTCTTCCTGGCCGCAAGGCCAAGAGCCCTGATTGTTTTCAGACCCTCTCAACCGAAGGCATTCTCAACGAATGTCAGCCCCATGCATATCCGACAAAGCTCGAAAAACACACTTCTGTGACCACTGGGATGTGGAATTTCCCCAGGGGTGTAGAGGAGGCTAGTGACACAGGCTGGGGACCAGCAAATGAATGGATTTTTTTATGGAGTGATTTATCTTTCGGTGTCAGCCATTATATACATATATATAATCATTCATTTATTTATTTTTTATTTATTTGTTTGTTTGTTTGTTCGTTTGTTTGTTTGTTTATTTATCTGTACATATATATGGTTCTCTAACTTGGAGAACTGATGAGAGGTCTCTGACTTGGTGGGGCCAAGGCAGGAATCACAAGGAGAAAAGATGTAATTAGCTCTGTAGAGTATCTTGACAAGTGTCATCAGTCTAAGTCTAAAAGTCAAAGCACGAGGGGAAAGGTGCCTTTACGGAAAAACTCAAGTTAAAATTTGGGCTGGCGAGAAAGGCACCTATGCCTTACAGTGTGGCAGGACACACTATTTGATTTCCCATTGGCCAGAGATTTCCTAAACCTTGTCATGCGTTCAGACCATGGTCCCATCCCACAGACCGAGCAGTGTCATCAGTGGCCCATCTCCAGAGTGCCCTGACTTCCTCCCCATTCTTCCTCCCAAAAAGGTGCCCTTAGGAAGAAGAGAACTCATTCTGCTGCATCCCTTGAAGCAGAGTTCACCAGGCCGAGCTGTCCTTTGGGCCTAACCTTCTCACGGCCAAGGCCCTCTTCAGCACTGGCAGCCCTGGTAAGCAATGTTGTTTGTGTCCTAAACGCATGTGTAGCTGTGCTCTCCGGAGACCTGGGTCTATGATGACAAACCTATGTCACGAAGAGAGATGATGACATAAAAATCATGCTCAATAGGATTACGCTGAGGCCCAAGCTGCAGGGCAGGAGAGAAACAGGTGCCTCGTCTCCTTGTGGCTTCCTTGAGGCCCAATTCTCAGGCCCTGCTTCCCGAAGCCCTGTTTCCCCTCCTGGGGAATCCAAGCTATCCAGGTGCACATACCTAGGAGAGCCCTGAGGGCTCCATTCCAAAGCACCTGGTGTGACTCTCCAGCCCCGTGCAAGGCTTTAGCGGCCAACACGCTGCTCATGTCCCTGTCTCCTCTGCTGTCTTTCAGTGACCTGGGATGCCGTTTCAGAGCCCGAACCATCCTGGCACATTTCAGGTAATTGGAAATATCAACCCAAGGGCTGGGATCTCGAAACATCGTGTACCCTCGCCTTCTAAAGCCTCTGACACCCCAAGAACCTTTCCACCTTAGAAGCAAGGCCTCCAGGCTCTGGCCTGATGGTGGCAATCTTCTACCCCTCCGACCTATGGGTGCAGAATGGCAATTCCAAATGTATACACTGTCCTGGACAATTCCAAGGAAATTGGACAGGAGCCACTGATCAGGGACTGCAGCGCAATACCCATAGGTGGAGTCAGGAGGCCCAGAGCTTCTCTGGTTCATGGCACAGGCATAGAACCAGTTACCCTTCACTTGACTGCCCCGCCTAGTTGGATCCTTGCACCTCCCATACAGATTAGGTAGGATGGGCAGGGGAAGACCTTCAAGGTCACACTGTGACACAAGGCATGAGACCCACATCCATCATGAAGGGGCTTTCAGGAAGGGCCATCTGGCACACCCTAGAGCTCACCGTGAGCCGCGGCAACTTCTTGGGCATATCGGACTTAGGGACATCCCCAACATTTTACTGACGGACAGGGCCCACAAAGCGTTCCCTACCCCTGTGCCTTAGAGAGGCAACTTGATTGACCTCCCAAACAGAAGGCCACAGGAGCCAAGGCGGGATTGTTTTTCGGGGCAGGCATTCTCTTCCTGGCCGCAAGGCCAAGAGCCCTGATTGTTTTCAGACCCTCTCAACCGAAGGCATTCTCAACGAATGTCAGCCCCATGCATATCCGACAAAGCTCGAAAAACACACTTCTGTGACCACTGGGATGTGGAATTTCCCCAGGGGTGTAGAGGAGGCTAGTGACACAGGCTGGGGACCAGCAAATGAATGGATTTTTTTATGGAGTGATTTATCTTTCGGTGTCAGCCATTATATACATATATATAATCATTCATTTATTTATTTTTTATTTATTTGTTTGTTTGTTTGTTCGTTTGTTTGTTTGTTTATTTATCTGTACATATATATGGTTCTCTAACTTGGAGAACTGATGAGAGGTCTCTGACTTGGTGGGGCCAAGGCAGGAATCACAAGGAGAAAAGATGTAATTAGCTCTGTAGAGTATCTTGACAAGTGTCATCAGTCTAAGTCTAAAAGTCAAAGCACGAGGGGAAAGGTGCCTTTACGGAAAAACTCAAGTTAAAATTTGGGCTGGCGAGAAAGGCACCTATGCCTTACAGTGTGGCAGGACACACTATTTGATTTCCCATTGGCCAGAGATTTCCTAAACCTTGTCATGCGTTCAGACCATGGTCCCATCCCACAGACCGAGCAGTGTCATCAGTGGCCCATCTCCAGAGTGCCCTGACTTCCTCCCCATTCTTCCTCCCAAAAAGGTGCCCTTAGGAAGAAGAGAACTCATTCTGCTGCATCCCTTGAAGCAGAGTTCACCAGGCCGAGCTGTCCTTTGGGCCTAACCTTCTCACGGCCAAGGCCCTCTTCAGCACTGGCAGCCCTGGTAAGCAATGTTGTTTGTGTCCTAAACGCATGTGTAGCTGTGCTCTCCGGAGACCTGGGTCTATGATGACAAACCTATGTCACGAAGAGAGATGATGACATAAAAATCATGCTCAATAGGATTACGCTGAGGCCCAAGCTGCAGGGCAGGAGAGAAACAGGTGCCTCGTCTCCTTGTGGCTTCCTTGAGGCCCAATTCTCAGGCCCTGCTTCCCGAAGCCCTGTTTCCCCTCCTGGGGAATCCAAGCTATCCAGGTGCACATACCTAGGAGAGCCCTGAGGGCTCCATTCCAAAGCACCTGGTGTGACTCTCCAGCCCCGTGCAAGGCTTTAGCGGCCAACACGCTGCTCATGTCCCTGTCTCCTCTGCTGTCTTTCAGTGACCTGGGATGCCGTTTCAGAGCCCGAACCATCCTGGCACATTTCAGGTAATTGGAAATATCAACCCAAGGGCTGGGATCTCGAAACATCGTGTACCCTCGCCTTCTAAAGCCTCTGACACCCCAAGAACCTTTCCACCTTAGAAGCAAGGCCTCCAGGCTCTGGCCTGATGGTGGCAATCTTCTACCCCTCCGACCTATGGGTGCAGAATGGCAATTCCAAATGTATACACTGTCCTGGACAATTCCAAGGAAATTGGACAGGAGCCACTGATCAGGGACTGCAGCGCAATACCCATAGGTGGAGTCAGGAGGCCCAGAGCTTCTCTGGTTCATGGCACAGGCATAGAACCAGTTACCCTTCACTTGACTGCCCCGCCTAGTTGGATCCTTGCACCTCCCATACAGATTAGGTAGGATGGGCAGGGGAAGACCTTCAAGGTCACACTGTGACACAAGGCATGAGACCCACATCCATCATGAAGGGGCTTTCAGGAAGGGCCATCTGGCACACCCTAGAGCTCACCGTGAGCCGCGGCAACTTCTTGGGCATATCGGACTTAGGGACATCCCCAACATTTTACTGACGGACAGGGCCCACAAAGCGTTCCCTACCCCTGTGCCTTAGAGAGGCAACTTGATTGACCTCCCAAACAGAAGGCCACAGGAGCCAAGGCGGGATTGTTTTTCGGGGCAGGCATTCTCTTCCTGGCCGCAAGGCCAAGAGCCCTGATTGTTTTCAGACCCTCTCAACCGAAGGCATTCTCAACGAATGTCAGCCCCATGCATATCCGACAAAGCTCGAAAAACACACTTCTGTGACCACTGGGATGTGGAATTTCCCCAGGGGTGTAGAGGAGGCTAGTGACACAGGCTGGGGACCAGCAAATGAATGGATTTTTTTATGGAGTGATTTATCTTTCGGTGTCAGCCATTATATACATATATATAATCATTCATTTATTTATTTTTTATTTATTTGTTTGTTTGTTTGTTCGTTTGTTTGTTTGTTTATTTATCTGTACATATATATGGTTCTCTAACTTGGAGAACTGATGAGAGGTCTCTGACTTGGTGGGGCCAAGGCAGGAATCACAAGGAGAAAAGATGTAATTAGCTCTGTAGAGTATCTTGACAAGTGTCATCAGTCTAAGTCTAAAAGTCAAAGCACGAGGGGAAAGGTGCCTTTACGGAAAAACTCAAGTTAAAATTTGGGCTGGCGAGAAAGGCACCTATGCCTTACAGTGTGGCAGGACACACTATTTGATTTCCCATTGGCCAGAGATTTCCTAAACCTTGTCATGCGTTCAGACCATGGTCCCATCCCACAGACCGAGCAGTGTCATCAGTGGCCCATCTCCAGAGTGCCCTGACTTCCTCCCCATTCTTCCTCCCAAAAAGGTGCCCTTAGGAAGAAGAGAACTCATTCTGCTGCATCCCTTGAAGCAGAGTTCACCAGGCCGAGCTGTCCTTTGGGCCTAACCTTCTCACGGCCAAGGCCCTCTTCAGCACTGGCAGCCCTGGTAAGCAATGTTGTTTGTGTCCTAAACGCATGTGTAGCTGTGCTCTCCGGAGACCTGGGTCTATGATGACAAACCTATGTCACGAAGAGAGATGATGACATAAAAATCATGCTCAATAGGATTACGCTGAGGCCCAAGCTGCAGGGCAGGAGAGAAACAGGTGCCTCGTCTCCTTGTGGCTTCCTTGAGGCCCAATTCTCAGGCCCTGCTTCCCGAAGCCCTGTTTCCCCTCCTGGGGAATCCAAGCTATCCAGGTGCACATACCTAGGAGAGCCCTGAGGGCTCCATTCCAAAGCACCTGGTGTGACTCTCCAGCCCCGTGCAAGGCTTTAGCGGCCAACACGCTGCTCATGTCCCTGTCTCCTCTGCTGTCTTTCAGTGACCTGGGATGCCGTTTCAGAGCCCGAACCATCCTGGCACATTTCAGGTAATTGGAAATATCAACCCAAGGGCTGGGATCTCGAAACATCGTGTACCCTCGCCTTCTAAAGCCTCTGACACCCCAAGAACCTTTCCACCTTAGAAGCAAGGCCTCCAGGCTCTGGCCTGATGGTGGCAATCTTCTACCCCTCCGACCTATGGGTGCAGAATGGCAATTCCAAATGTATACACTGTCCTGGACAATTCCAAGGAAATTGGACAGGAGCCACTGATCAGGGACTGCAGCGCAATACCCATAGGTGGAGTCAGGAGGCCCAGAGCTTCTCTGGTTCATGGCACAGGCATAGAACCAGTTACCCTTCACTTGACTGCCCCGCCTAGTTGGATCCTTGCACCTCCCATACAGATTAGGTAGGATGGGCAGGGGAAGACCTTCAAGGTCACACTGTGACACAAGGCATGAGACCCACATCCATCATGAAGGGGCTTTCAGGAAGGGCCATCTGGCACACCCTAGAGCTCACCGTGAGCCGCGGCAACTTCTTGGGCATATCGGACTTAGGGACATCCCCAACATTTTACTGACGGACAGGGCCCACAAAGCGTTCCCTACCCCTGTGCCTTAGAGAGGCAACTTGATTGACCTCCCAAACAGAAGGCCACAGGAGCCAAGGCGGGATTGTTTTTCGGGGCAGGCATTCTCTTCCTGGCCGCAAGGCCAAGAGCCCTGATTGTTTTCAGACCCTCTCAACCGAAGGCATTCTCAACGAATGTCAGCCCCATGCATATCCGACAAAGCTCGAAAAACACACTTCTGTGACCACTGGGATGTGGAATTTCCCCAGGGGTGTAGAGGAGGCTAGTGACACAGGCTGGGGACCAGCAAATGAATGGATTTTTTTATGGAGTGATTTATCTTTCGGTGTCAGCCATTATATACATATATATAATCATTCATTTATTTATTTTTTATTTATTTGTTTGTTTGTTTGTTCGTTTGTTTGTTTGTTTATTTATCTGTACATATATATGGTTCTCTAACTTGGAGAACTGATGAGAGGTCTCTGACTTGGTGGGGCCAAGGCAGGAATCACAAGGAGAAAAGATGTAATTAGCTCTGTAGAGTATCTTGACAAGTGTCATCAGTCTAAGTCTAAAAGTCAAAGCACGAGGGGAAAGGTGCCTTTACGGAAAAACTCAAGTTAAAATTTGGGCTGGCGAGAAAGGCACCTATGCCTTACAGTGTGGCAGGACACACTATTTGATTTCCCATTGGCCAGAGATTTCCTAAACCTTGTCATGCGTTCAGACCATGGTCCCATCCCACAGACCGAGCAGTGTCATCAGTGGCCCATCTCCAGAGTGCCCTGACTTCCTCCCCATTCTTCCTCCCAAAAAGGTGCCCTTAGGAAGAAGAGAACTCATTCTGCTGCATCCCTTGAAGCAGAGTTCACCAGGCCGAGCTGTCCTTTGGGCCTAACCTTCTCACGGCCAAGGCCCTCTTCAGCACTGGCAGCCCTGGTAAGCAATGTTGTTTGTGTCCTAAACGCATGTGTAGCTGTGCTCTCCGGAGACCTGGGTCTATGATGACAAACCTATGTCACGAAGAGAGATGATGACATAAAAATCATGCTCAATAGGATTACGCTGAGGCCCAAGCTGCAGGGCAGGAGAGAAACAGGTGCCTCGTCTCCTTGTGGCTTCCTTGAGGCCCAATTCTCAGGCCCTGCTTCCCGAAGCCCTGTTTCCCCTCCTGGGGAATCCAAGCTATCCAGGTGCACATACCTAGGAGAGCCCTGAGGGCTCCATTCCAAAGCACCTGGTGTGACTCTCCAGCCCCGTGCAAGGCTTTAGCGGCCAACACGCTGCTCATGTCCCTGTCTCCTCTGCTGTCTTTCAGTGACCTGGGATGCCGTTTCAGAGCCCGAACCATCCTGGCACATTTCAGGTAATTGGAAATATCAACCCAAGGGCTGGGATCTCGAAACATCGTGTACCCTCGCCTTCTAAAGCCTCTGACACCCCAAGAACCTTTCCACCTTAGAAGCAAGGCCTCCAGGCTCTGGCCTGATGGTGGCAATCTTCTACCCCTCCGACCTATGGGTGCAGAATGGCAATTCCAAATGTATACACTGTCCTGGACAATTCCAAGGAAATTGGACAGGAGCCACTGATCAGGGACTGCAGCGCAATACCCATAGGTGGAGTCAGGAGGCCCAGAGCTTCTCTGGTTCATGGCACAGGCATAGAACCAGTTACCCTTCACTTGACTGCCCCGCCTAGTTGGATCCTTGCACCTCCCATACAGATTAGGTAGGATGGGCAGGGGAAGACCTTCAAGGTCACACTGTGACACAAGGCATGAGACCCACATCCATCATGAAGGGGCTTTCAGGAAGGGCCATCTGGCACACCCTAGAGCTCACCGTGAGCCGCGGCAACTTCTTGGGCATATCGGACTTAGGGACATCCCCAACATTTTACTGACGGACAGGGCCCACAAAGCGTTCCCTACCCCTGTGCCTTAGAGAGGCAACTTGATTGACCTCCCAAACAGAAGGCCACAGGAGCCAAGGCGGGATTGTTTTTCGGGGCAGGCATTCTCTTCCTGGCCGCAAGGCCAAGAGCCCTGATTGTTTTCAGACCCTCTCAACCGAAGGCATTCTCAACGAATGTCAGCCCCATGCATATCCGACAAAGCTCGAAAAACACACTTCTGTGACCACTGGGATGTGGAATTTCCCCAGGGGTGTAGAGGAGGCTAGTGACACAGGCTGGGGACCAGCAAATGAATGGATTTTTTTATGGAGTGATTTATCTTTCGGTGTCAGCCATTATATACATATATATAATCATTCATTTATTTATTTTTTATTTATTTGTTTGTTTGTTTGTTCGTTTGTTTGTTTGTTTATTTATCTGTACATATATATGGTTCTCTAACTTGGAGAACTGATGAGAGGTCTCTGACTTGGTGGGGCCAAGGCAGGAATCACAAGGAGAAAAGATGTAATTAGCTCTGTAGAGTATCTTGACAAGTGTCATCAGTCTAAGTCTAAAAGTCAAAGCACGAGGGGAAAGGTGCCTTTACGGAAAAACTCAAGTTAAAATTTGGGCTGGCGAGAAAGGCACCTATGCCTTACAGTGTGGCAGGACACACTATTTGATTTCCCATTGGCCAGAGATTTCCTAAACCTTGTCATGCGTTCAGACCATGGTCCCATCCCACAGACCGAGCAGTGTCATCAGTGGCCCATCTCCAGAGTGCCCTGACTTCCTCCCCATTCTTCCTCCCAAAAAGGTGCCCTTAGGAAGAAGAGAACTCATTCTGCTGCATCCCTTGAAGCAGAGTTCACCAGGCCGAGCTGTCCTTTGGGCCTAACCTTCTCACGGCCAAGGCCCTCTTCAGCACTGGCAGCCCTGGTAAGCAATGTTGTTTGTGTCCTAAACGCATGTGTAGCTGTGCTCTCCGGAGACCTGGGTCTATGATGACAAACCTATGTCACGAAGAGAGATGATGACATAAAAATCATGCTCAATAGGATTACGCTGAGGCCCAAGCTGCAGGGCAGGAGAGAAACAGGTGCCTCGTCTCCTTGTGGCTTCCTTGAGGCCCAATTCTCAGGCCCTGCTTCCCGAAGCCCTGTTTCCCCTCCTGGGGAATCCAAGCTATCCAGGTGCACATACCTAGGAGAGCCCTGAGGGCTCCATTCCAAAGCACCTGGTGTGACTCTCCAGCCCCGTGCAAGGCTTTAGCGGCCAACACGCTGCTCATGTCCCTGTCTCCTCTGCTGTCTTTCAGTGACCTGGGATGCCGTTTCAGAGCCCGAACCATCCTGGCACATTTCAGGTAATTGGAAATATCAACCCAAGGGCTGGGATCTCGAAACATCGTGTACCCTCGCCTTCTAAAGCCTCTGACACCCCAAGAACCTTTCCACCTTAGAAGCAAGGCCTCCAGGCTCTGGCCTGATGGTGGCAATCTTCTACCCCTCCGACCTATGGGTGCAGAATGGCAATTCCAAATGTATACACTGTCCTGGACAATTCCAAGGAAATTGGACAGGAGCCACTGATCAGGGACTGCAGCGCAATACCCATAGGTGGAGTCAGGAGGCCCAGAGCTTCTCTGGTTCATGGCACAGGCATAGAACCAGTTACCCTTCACTTGACTGCCCCGCCTAGTTGGATCCTTGCACCTCCCATACAGATTAGGTAGGATGGGCAGGGGAAGACCTTCAAGGTCACACTGTGACACAAGGCATGAGACCCACATCCATCATGAAGGGGCTTTCAGGAAGGGCCATCTGGCACACCCTAGAGCTCACCGTGAGCCGCGGCAACTTCTTGGGCATATCGGACTTAGGGACATCCCCAACATTTTACTGACGGACAGGGCCCACAAAGCGTTCCCTACCCCTGTGCCTTAGAGAGGCAACTTGATTGACCTCCCAAACAGAAGGCCACAGGAGCCAAGGCGGGATTGTTTTTCGGGGCAGGCATTCTCTTCCTGGCCGCAAGGCCAAGAGCCCTGATTGTTTTCAGACCCTCTCAACCGAAGGCATTCTCAACGAATGTCAGCCCCATGCATATCCGACAAAGCTCGAAAAACACACTTCTGTGACCACTGGGATGTGGAATTTCCCCAGGGGTGTAGAGGAGGCTAGTGACACAGGCTGGGGACCAGCAAATGAATGGATTTTTTTATGGAGTGATTTATCTTTCGGTGTCAGCCATTATATACATATATATAATCATTCATTTATTTATTTTTTATTTATTTGTTTGTTTGTTTGTTCGTTTGTTTGTTTGTTTATTTATCTGTACATATATATGGTTCTCTAACTTGGAGAACTGATGAGAGGTCTCTGACTTGGTGGGGCCAAGGCAGGAATCACAAGGAGAAAAGATGTAATTAGCTCTGTAGAGTATCTTGACAAGTGTCATCAGTCTAAGTCTAAAAGTCAAAGCACGAGGGGAAAGGTGCCTTTACGGAAAAACTCAAGTTAAAATTTGGGCTGGCGAGAAAGGCACCTATGCCTTACAGTGTGGCAGGACACACTATTTGATTTCCCATTGGCCAGAGATTTCCTAAACCTTGTCATGCGTTCAGACCATGGTCCCATCCCACAGACCGAGCAGTGTCATCAGTGGCCCATCTCCAGAGTGCCCTGACTTCCTCCCCATTCTTCCTCCCAAAAAGGTGCCCTTAGGAAGAAGAGAACTCATTCTGCTGCATCCCTTGAAGCAGAGTTCACCAGGCCGAGCTGTCCTTTGGGCCTAACCTTCTCACGGCCAAGGCCCTCTTCAGCACTGGCAGCCCTGGTAAGCAATGTTGTTTGTGTCCTAAACGCATGTGTAGCTGTGCTCTCCGGAGACCTGGGTCTATGATGACAAACCTATGTCACGAAGAGAGATGATGACATAAAAATCATGCTCAATAGGATTACGCTGAGGCCCAAGCTGCAGGGCAGGAGAGAAACAGGTGCCTCGTCTCCTTGTGGCTTCCTTGAGGCCCAATTCTCAGGCCCTGCTTCCCGAAGCCCTGTTTCCCCTCCTGGGGAATCCAAGCTATCCAGGTGCACATACCTAGGAGAGCCCTGAGGGCTCCATTCCAAAGCACCTGGTGTGACTCTCCAGCCCCGTGCAAGGCTTTAGCGGCCAACACGCTGCTCATGTCCCTGTCTCCTCTGCTGTCTTTCAGTGACCTGGGATGCCGTTTCAGAGCCCGAACCATCCTGGCACATTTCAGGTAATTGGAAATATCAACCCAAGGGCTGGGATCTCGAAACATCGTGTACCCTCGCCTTCTAAAGCCTCTGACACCCCAAGAACCTTTCCACCTTAGAAGCAAGGCCTCCAGGCTCTGGCCTGATGGTGGCAATCTTCTACCCCTCCGACCTATGGGTGCAGAATGGCAATTCCAAATGTATACACTGTCCTGGACAATTCCAAGGAAATTGGACAGGAGCCACTGATCAGGGACTGCAGCGCAATACCCATAGGTGGAGTCAGGAGGCCCAGAGCTTCTCTGGTTCATGGCACAGGCATAGAACCAGTTACCCTTCACTTGACTGCCCCGCCTAGTTGGATCCTTGCACCTCCCATACAGATTAGGTAGGATGGGCAGGGGAAGACCTTCAAGGTCACACTGTGACACAAGGCATGAGACCCACATCCATCATGAAGGGGCTTTCAGGAAGGGCCATCTGGCACACCCTAGAGCTCACCGTGAGCCGCGGCAACTTCTTGGGCATATCGGACTTAGGGACATCCCCAACATTTTACTGACGGACAGGGCCCACAAAGCGTTCCCTACCCCTGTGCCTTAGAGAGGCAACTTGATTGACCTCCCAAACAGAAGGCCACAGGAGCCAAGGCGGGATTGTTTTTCGGGGCAGGCATTCTCTTCCTGGCCGCAAGGCCAAGAGCCCTGATTGTTTTCAGACCCTCTCAACCGAAGGCATTCTCAACGAATGTCAGCCCCATGCATATCCGACAAAGCTCGAAAAACACACTTCTGTGACCACTGGGATGTGGAATTTCCCCAGGGGTGTAGAGGAGGCTAGTGACACAGGCTGGGGACCAGCAAATGAATGGATTTTTTTATGGAGTGATTTATCTTTCGGTGTCAGCCATTATATACATATATATAATCATTCATTTATTTATTTTTTATTTATTTGTTTGTTTGTTTGTTCGTTTGTTTGTTTGTTTATTTATCTGTACATATATATGGTTCTCTAACTTGGAGAACTGATGAGAGGTCTCTGACTTGGTGGGGCCAAGGCAGGAATCACAAGGAGAAAAGATGTAATTAGCTCTGTAGAGTATCTTGACAAGTGTCATCAGTCTAAGTCTAAAAGTCAAAGCACGAGGGGAAAGGTGCCTTTACGGAAAAACTCAAGTTAAAATTTGGGCTGGCGAGAAAGGCACCTATGCCTTACAGTGTGGCAGGACACACTATTTGATTTCCCATTGGCCAGAGATTTCCTAAACCTTGTCATGCGTTCAGACCATGGTCCCATCCCACAGACCGAGCAGTGTCATCAGTGGCCCATCTCCAGAGTGCCCTGACTTCCTCCCCATTCTTCCTCCCAAAAAGGTGCCCTTAGGAAGAAGAGAACTCATTCTGCTGCATCCCTTGAAGCAGAGTTCACCAGGCCGAGCTGTCCTTTGGGCCTAACCTTCTCACGGCCAAGGCCCTCTTCAGCACTGGCAGCCCTGGTAAGCAATGTTGTTTGTGTCCTAAACGCATGTGTAGCTGTGCTCTCCGGAGACCTGGGTCTATGATGACAAACCTATGTCACGAAGAGAGATGATGACATAAAAATCATGCTCAATAGGATTACGCTGAGGCCCAAGCTGCAGGGCAGGAGAGAAACAGGTGCCTCGTCTCCTTGTGGCTTCCTTGAGGCCCAATTCTCAGGCCCTGCTTCCCGAAGCCCTGTTTCCCCTCCTGGGGAATCCAAGCTATCCAGGTGCACATACCTAGGAGAGCCCTGAGGGCTCCATTCCAAAGCACCTGGTGTGACTCTCCAGCCCCGTGCAAGGCTTTAGCGGCCAACACGCTGCTCATGTCCCTGTCTCCTCTGCTGTCTTTCAGTGACCTGGGATGCCGTTTCAGAGCCCGAACCATCCTGGCACATTTCAGGTAATTGGAAATATCAACCCAAGGGCTGGGATCTCGAAACATCGTGTACCCTCGCCTTCTAAAGCCTCTGACACCCCAAGAACCTTTCCACCTTAGAAGCAAGGCCTCCAGGCTCTGGCCTGATGGTGGCAATCTTCTACCCCTCCGACCTATGGGTGCAGAATGGCAATTCCAAATGTATACACTGTCCTGGACAATTCCAAGGAAATTGGACAGGAGCCACTGATCAGGGACTGCAGCGCAATACCCATAGGTGGAGTCAGGAGGCCCAGAGCTTCTCTGGTTCATGGCACAGGCATAGAACCAGTTACCCTTCACTTGACTGCCCCGCCTAGTTGGATCCTTGCACCTCCCATACAGATTAGGTAGGATGGGCAGGGGAAGACCTTCAAGGTCACACTGTGACACAAGGCATGAGACCCACATCCATCATGAAGGGGCTTTCAGGAAGGGCCATCTGGCACACCCTAGAGCTCACCGTGAGCCGCGGCAACTTCTTGGGCATATCGGACTTAGGGACATCCCCAACATTTTACTGACGGACAGGGCCCACAAAGCGTTCCCTACCCCTGTGCCTTAGAGAGGCAACTTGATTGACCTCCCAAACAGAAGGCCACAGGAGCCAAGGCGGGATTGTTTTTCGGGGCAGGCATTCTCTTCCTGGCCGCAAGGCCAAGAGCCCTGATTGTTTTCAGACCCTCTCAACCGAAGGCATTCTCAACGAATGTCAGCCCCATGCATATCCGACAAAGCTCGAAAAACACACTTCTGTGACCACTGGGATGTGGAATTTCCCCAGGGGTGTAGAGGAGGCTAGTGACACAGGCTGGGGACCAGCAAATGAATGGATTTTTTTATGGAGTGATTTATCTTTCGGTGTCAGCCATTATATACATATATATAATCATTCATTTATTTATTTTTTATTTATTTGTTTGTTTGTTTGTTCGTTTGTTTGTTTGTTTATTTATCTGTACATATATATGGTTCTCTAACTTGGAGAACTGATGAGAGGTCTCTGACTTGGTGGGGCCAAGGCAGGAATCACAAGGAGAAAAGATGTAATTAGCTCTGTAGAGTATCTTGACAAGTGTCATCAGTCTAAGTCTAAAAGTCAAAGCACGAGGGGAAAGGTGCCTTTACGGAAAAACTCAAGTTAAAATTTGGGCTGGCGAGAAAGGCACCTATGCCTTACAGTGTGGCAGGACACACTATTTGATTTCCCATTGGCCAGAGATTTCCTAAACCTTGTCATGCGTTCAGACCATGGTCCCATCCCACAGACCGAGCAGTGTCATCAGTGGCCCATCTCCAGAGTGCCCTGACTTCCTCCCCATTCTTCCTCCCAAAAAGGTGCCCTTAGGAAGAAGAGAACTCATTCTGCTGCATCCCTTGAAGCAGAGTTCACCAGGCCGAGCTGTCCTTTGGGCCTAACCTTCTCACGGCCAAGGCCCTCTTCAGCACTGGCAGCCCTGGTAAGCAATGTTGTTTGTGTCCTAAACGCATGTGTAGCTGTGCTCTCCGGAGACCTGGGTCTATGATGACAAACCTATGTCACGAAGAGAGATGATGACATAAAAATCATGCTCAATAGGATTACGCTGAGGCCCAAGCTGCAGGGCAGGAGAGAAACAGGTGCCTCGTCTCCTTGTGGCTTCCTTGAGGCCCAATTCTCAGGCCCTGCTTCCCGAAGCCCTGTTTCCCCTCCTGGGGAATCCAAGCTATCCAGGTGCACATACCTAGGAGAGCCCTGAGGGCTCCATTCCAAAGCACCTGGTGTGACTCTCCAGCCCCGTGCAAGGCTTTAGCGGCCAACACGCTGCTCATGTCCCTGTCTCCTCTGCTGTCTTTCAGTGACCTGGGATGCCGTTTCAGAGCCCGAACCATCCTGGCACATTTCAGGTAATTGGAAATATCAACCCAAGGGCTGGGATCTCGAAACATCGTGTACCCTCGCCTTCTAAAGCCTCTGACACCCCAAGAACCTTTCCACCTTAGAAGCAAGGCCTCCAGGCTCTGGCCTGATGGTGGCAATCTTCTACCCCTCCGACCTATGGGTGCAGAATGGCAATTCCAAATGTATACACTGTCCTGGACAATTCCAAGGAAATTGGACAGGAGCCACTGATCAGGGACTGCAGCGCAATACCCATAGGTGGAGTCAGGAGGCCCAGAGCTTCTCTGGTTCATGGCACAGGCATAGAACCAGTTACCCTTCACTTGACTGCCCCGCCTAGTTGGATCCTTGCACCTCCCATACAGATTAGGTAGGATGGGCAGGGGAAGACCTTCAAGGTCACACTGTGACACAAGGCATGAGACCCACATCCATCATGAAGGGGCTTTCAGGAAGGGCCATCTGGCACACCCTAGAGCTCACCGTGAGCCGCGGCAACTTCTTGGGCATATCGGACTTAGGGACATCCCCAACATTTTACTGACGGACAGGGCCCACAAAGCGTTCCCTACCCCTGTGCCTTAGAGAGGCAACTTGATTGACCTCCCAAACAGAAGGCCACAGGAGCCAAGGCGGGATTGTTTTTCGGGGCAGGCATTCTCTTCCTGGCCGCAAGGCCAAGAGCCCTGATTGTTTTCAGACCCTCTCAACCGAAGGCATTCTCAACGAATGTCAGCCCCATGCATATCCGACAAAGCTCGAAAAACACACTTCTGTGACCACTGGGATGTGGAATTTCCCCAGGGGTGTAGAGGAGGCTAGTGACACAGGCTGGGGACCAGCAAATGAATGGATTTTTTTATGGAGTGATTTATCTTTCGGTGTCAGCCATTATATACATATATATAATCATTCATTTATTTATTTTTTATTTATTTGTTTGTTTGTTTGTTCGTTTGTTTGTTTGTTTATTTATCTGTACATATATATGGTTCTCTAACTTGGAGAACTGATGAGAGGTCTCTGACTTGGTGGGGCCAAGGCAGGAATCACAAGGAGAAAAGATGTAATTAGCTCTGTAGAGTATCTTGACAAGTGTCATCAGTCTAAGTCTAAAAGTCAAAGCACGAGGGGAAAGGTGCCTTTACGGAAAAACTCAAGTTAAAATTTGGGCTGGCGAGAAAGGCACCTATGCCTTACAGTGTGGCAGGACACACTATTTGATTTCCCATTGGCCAGAGATTTCCTAAACCTTGTCATGCGTTCAGACCATGGTCCCATCCCACAGACCGAGCAGTGTCATCAGTGGCCCATCTCCAGAGTGCCCTGACTTCCTCCCCATTCTTCCTCCCAAAAAGGTGCCCTTAGGAAGAAGAGAACTCATTCTGCTGCATCCCTTGAAGCAGAGTTCACCAGGCCGAGCTGTCCTTTGGGCCTAACCTTCTCACGGCCAAGGCCCTCTTCAGCACTGGCAGCCCTGGTAAGCAATGTTGTTTGTGTCCTAAACGCATGTGTAGCTGTGCTCTCCGGAGACCTGGGTCTATGATGACAAACCTATGTCACGAAGAGAGATGATGACATAAAAATCATGCTCAATAGGATTACGCTGAGGCCCAAGCTGCAGGGCAGGAGAGAAACAGGTGCCTCGTCTCCTTGTGGCTTCCTTGAGGCCCAATTCTCAGGCCCTGCTTCCCGAAGCCCTGTTTCCCCTCCTGGGGAATCCAAGCTATCCAGGTGCACATACCTAGGAGAGCCCTGAGGGCTCCATTCCAAAGCACCTGGTGTGACTCTCCAGCCCCGTGCAAGGCTTTAGCGGCCAACACGCTGCTCATGTCCCTGTCTCCTCTGCTGTCTTTCAGTGACCTGGGATGCCGTTTCAGAGCCCGAACCATCCTGGCACATTTCAGGTAATTGGAAATATCAACCCAAGGGCTGGGATCTCGAAACATCGTGTACCCTCGCCTTCTAAAGCCTCTGACACCCCAAGAACCTTTCCACCTTAGAAGCAAGGCCTCCAGGCTCTGGCCTGATGGTGGCAATCTTCTACCCCTCCGACCTATGGGTGCAGAATGGCAATTCCAAATGTATACACTGTCCTGGACAATTCCAAGGAAATTGGACAGGAGCCACTGATCAGGGACTGCAGCGCAATACCCATAGGTGGAGTCAGGAGGCCCAGAGCTTCTCTGGTTCATGGCACAGGCATAGAACCAGTTACCCTTCACTTGACTGCCCCGCCTAGTTGGATCCTTGCACCTCCCATACAGATTAGGTAGGATGGGCAGGGGAAGACCTTCAAGGTCACACTGTGACACAAGGCATGAGACCCACATCCATCATGAAGGGGCTTTCAGGAAGGGCCATCTGGCACACCCTAGAGCTCACCGTGAGCCGCGGCAACTTCTTGGGCATATCGGACTTAGGGACATCCCCAACATTTTACTGACGGACAGGGCCCACAAAGCGTTCCCTACCCCTGTGCCTTAGAGAGGCAACTTGATTGACCTCCCAAACAGAAGGCCACAGGAGCCAAGGCGGGATTGTTTTTCGGGGCAGGCATTCTCTTCCTGGCCGCAAGGCCAAGAGCCCTGATTGTTTTCAGACCCTCTCAACCGAAGGCATTCTCAACGAATGTCAGCCCCATGCATATCCGACAAAGCTCGAAAAACACACTTCTGTGACCACTGGGATGTGGAATTTCCCCAGGGGTGTAGAGGAGGCTAGTGACACAGGCTGGGGACCAGCAAATGAATGGATTTTTTTATGGAGTGATTTATCTTTCGGTGTCAGCCATTATATACATATATATAATCATTCATTTATTTATTTTTTATTTATTTGTTTGTTTGTTTGTTCGTTTGTTTGTTTGTTTATTTATCTGTACATATATATGGTTCTCTAACTTGGAGAACTGATGAGAGGTCTCTGACTTGGTGGGGCCAAGGCAGGAATCACAAGGAGAAAAGATGTAATTAGCTCTGTAGAGTATCTTGACAAGTGTCATCAGTCTAAGTCTAAAAGTCAAAGCACGAGGGGAAAGGTGCCTTAACGGAAAAACTCAAGTTAAAATTTGGGCTGGCGAGAAAGGCACCTATGCCTTACAGTGTGGCAGGACACACTATTTGATTTCCCATTGGCCAGAGATTTCCTAAACCTTGTCATGCGTTCAGACCATGGTCCCATCCCACAGACCGAGCAGTGTCATCAGTGGCCCATCTCCAGAGTGCCCTGACTTCCTCCCCATTCTTCCTCCCAAAAAGGTGCCCTTAGGAAGAAGAGAACTCATTCTGCTGCATCCCTTGAAGCAGAGTTCACCAGGCCGAGCTGTCCTTTGGGCCTAACCTTCTCACGGCCAAGGCCCTCTTCAGCACTGGCAGCCCTGGTAAGCAATGTTGTTTGTGTCCTAAACGCATGTGTAGCTGTGCTCTCCGGAGACCTGGGTCTATGATGACAAACCTATGTCACGAAGAGAGATGATGACATAAAAATCATGCTCAATAGGATTACGCTGAGGCCCAAGCTGCAGGGCAGGAGAGAAACAGGTGCCTCGTCTCCTTGTGGCTTCCTTGAGGCCCAATTCTCAGGCCCTGCTTCCCGAAGCCCTGTTTCCCCTCCTGGGGAATCCAAGCTATCCAGGTGCACATACCTAGGAGAGCCCTGAGGGCTCCATTCCAAAGCACCTGGTGTGACTCTCCAGCCCCGTGCAAGGCTTTAGCGGCCAACACGCTGCTCATGTCCCTGTCTCCTCTGCTGTCTTTCAGTGACCTGGGATGCCGTTTCAGAGCCCGAACCATCCTGGCACATTTCAGGTAATTGGAAATATCAACCCAAGGGCTGGGATCTCGAAACATCGTGTACCCTCGCCTTCTAAAGCCTCTGACACCCCAAGAACCTTTCCACCTTAGAAGCAAGGCCTCCAGGCTCTGGCCTGATGGTGGCAATCTTCTACCCCTCCGACCTATGGGTGCAGAATGGCAATTCCAAATGTATACACTGTCCTGGACAATTCCAAGGAAATTGGACAGGAGCCACTGATCAGGGACTGCAGCGCAATACCCATAGGTGGAGTCAGGAGGCCCAGAGCTTCTCTGGTTCATGGCACAGGCATAGAACCAGTTACCCTTCACTTGACTGCCCCGCCTAGTTGGATCCTTGCACCTCCCATACAGATTAGGTAGGATGGGCAGGGGAAGACCTTCAAGGTCACACTGTGACACAAGGCATGAGACCCACATCCATCATGAAGGGGCTTTCAGGAAGGGCCATCTGGCACACCCTAGAGCTCACCGTGAGCCGCGGCAACTTCTTGGGCATATCGGACTTAGGGACATCCCCAACATTTTACTGACGGACAGGGCCCACAAAGCGTTCCCTACCCCTGTGCCTTAGAGAGGCAACTTGATTGACCTCCCAAACAGAAGGCCACAGGAGCCAAGGCGGGATTGTTTTTCGGGGCAGGCATTCTCTTCCTGGCCGCAAGGCCAAGAGCCCTGATTGTTTTCAGACCCTCTCAACCGAAGGCATTCTCAACGAATGTCAGCCCCATGCATATCCGACAAAGCTCGAAAAACACACTTCTGTGACCACTGGGATGTGGAATTTCCCCAGGGGTGTAGAGGAGGCTAGTGACACAGGCTGGGGACCAGCAAATGAATGGATTTTTTTATGGAGTGATTTATCTTTCGGTGTCAGCCATTATATACATATATATAATCATTCATTTATTTATTTTTTATTTATTTGTTTGTTTGTTTGTTCGTTTGTTTGTTTGTTTATTTATCTGTACATATATATGGTTCTCTAACTTGGAGAACTGATGAGAGGTCTCTGACTTGGTGGGGCCAAGGCAGGAATCACAAGGAGAAAAGATGTAATTAGCTCTGTAGAGTATCTTGACAAGTGTCATCAGTCTAAGTCTAAAAGTCAAAGCACGAGGGGAAAGGTGCCTTTACGGAAAAACTCAAGTTAAAATTTGGGCTGGCGAGAAAGGCACCTATGCCTTACAGTGTGGCAGGACACACTATTTGATTTCCCATTGGCCAGAGATTTCCTAAACCTTGTCATGCGTTCAGACCATGGTCCCATCCCACAGACCGAGCAGTGTCATCAGTGGCCCATCTCCAGAGTGCCCTGACTTCCTCCCCATTCTTCCTCCCAAAAAGGTGCCCTTAGGAAGAAGAGAACTCATTCTGCTGCATCCCTTGAAGCAGAGTTCACCAGGCCGAGCTGTCCTTTGGGCCTAACCTTCTCACGGCCAAGGCCCTCTTCAGCACTGGCAGCCCTGGTAAGCAATGTTGTTTGTGTCCTAAACGCATGTGTAGCTGTGCTCTCCGGAGACCTGGGTCTATGATGACAAACCTATGTCACGAAGAGAGATGATGACATAAAAATCATGCTCAATAGGATTACGCTGAGGCCCAAGCTGCAGGGCAGGAGAGAAACAGGTGCCTCGTCTCCTTGTGGCTTCCTTGAGGCCCAATTCTCAGGCCCTGCTTCCCGAAGCCCTGTTTCCCCTCCTGGGGAATCCAAGCTATCCAGGTGCACATACCTAGGAGAGCCCTGAGGGCTCCATTCCAAAGCACCTGGTGTGACTCTCCAGCCCCGTGCAAGGCTTTAGCGGCCAACACGCTGCTCATGTCCCTGTCTCCTCTGCTGTCTTTCAGTGACCTGGGATGCCGTTTCAGAGCCCGAACCATCCTGGCACATTTCAGGTAATTGGAAATATCAACCCAAGGGCTGGGATCTCTAAACATCGTGTACCCTCGCCTTCTAAAGCCTCTGACACCCCAAGAACCTTTCCACCTTAGAAGCAAGGCCTCCAGGCTCTGGCCTGATGGTGGCAATCTTCTACCCCTCCGACCTATGGGTGCAGAATGGCAATTCCAAATGTATACACTGTCCTGGACAATTCCAAGGAAATTGGACAGGAGCCACTGATCAGGGACTGCAGCGCAATACCCATAGGTGGAGTCAGGAGGCCCAGAGCTTCTCTGGTTCATGGCACAGGCATAGAACCAGTTACCCTTCACTTGACTGCCCCGCCTAGTTGGATCCTTGCACCTCCCATACAGATTAGGTAGGATGGGCAGGGGAAGACCTTCAAGGTCACACTGTGACACAAGGCATGAGACCCACATCCATCATGAAGGGGCTTTCAGGAAGGGCCATCTGGCACACCCTAGAGCTCACCGTGAGCCGCGGCAACTTCTTGGGCATATCGGACTTAGGGACATCCCCAACATTTTACTGACGGACAGGGCCCACAAAGCGTTCCCTACCCCTGTGCCTTAGAGAGGCAACTTGATTGACCTCCCAAACAGAAGGCCACAGGAGCCAAGGCGGGATTGTTTTTCGGGGCAGGCATTCTCTTCCTGGCCGCAAGGCCAAGAGCCCTGATTGTTTTCAGACCCTCTCAACCGAAGGCATTCTCAACGAATGTCAGCCCCATGCATATCCGACAAAGCTCGAAAAACACACTTCTGTGACCACTGGGATGTGGAATTTCCCCAGGGGTGTAGAGGAGGCTAGTGACACAGGCTGGGGACCAGCAAATGAATGGATTTTTTTATGGAGTGATTTATCTTTCGGTGTCAGCCATTATATACATATATATAATCATTCATTTATTTATTTTTTATTTATTTGTTTGTTTGTTTGTTCGTTTGTTTGTTTGTTTATTTATCTGTACATATATATGGTTCTCTAACTTGGAGAACTGATGAGAGGTCTCTGACTTGGTGGGGCCAAGGCAGGAATCACAAGGAGAAAAGATGTAATTAGCTCTGTAGAGTATCTTGACAAGTGTCATCAGTCTAAGTCTAAAAGTCAAAGCACGAGGGGAAAGGTGCCTTTACGGAAAAACTCAAGTTAAAATTTGGGCTGGCGAGAAAGGCACCTATGCCTTACAGTGTGGCAGGACACACTATTTGATTTCCCATTGGCCAGAGATTTCCTAAACCTTGTCATGCGTTCAGACCATGGTCCCATCCCACAGACCGAGCAGTGTCATCAGTGGCCCATCTCCAGAGTGCCCTGACTTCCTCCCCATTCTTCCTCCCAAAAAGGTGCCCTTAGGAAGAAGAGAACTCATTCTGCTGCATCCCTTGAAGCAGAGTTCACCAGGCCGAGCTGTCCTTTGGGCCTAACCTTCTCACGGCCAAGGCCCTCTTCAGCACTGGCAGCCCTGGTAAGCAATGTTGTTTGTGTCCTAAACGCATGTGTAGCTGTGCTCTCCGGAGACCTGGGTCTATGATGACAAACCTATGTCACGAAGAGAGATGATGACATAAAAATCATGCTCAATAGGATTACGCTGAGGCCCAAGCTGCAGGGCAGGAGAGAAACAGGTGCCTCGTCTCCTTGTGGCTTCCTTGAGGCCCAATTCTCAGGCCCTGCTTCCCGAAGCCCTGTTTCCCCTCCTGGGGAATCCAAGCTATCCAGGTGCACATACCTAGGAGAGCCCTGAGGGCTCCATTCCAAAGCACCTGGTGTGACTCTCCAGCCCCGTGCAAGGCTTTAGCGGCCAACACGCTGCTCATGTCCCTGTCTCCTCTGCTGTCTTTCAGTGACCTGGGATGCCGTTTCAGAGCCCGAACCATCCTGGCACATTTCAGGTAATTGGAAATATCAACCCAAGGGCTGGGATCTCGAAACATCGTGTACCCTCGCCTTCTAAAGCCTCTGACACCCCAAGAACCTTTCCACCTTAGAAGCAAGGCCTCCAGGCTCTGGCCTGATGGTGGCAATCTTCTACCCCTCCGACCTATGGGTGCAGAATGGCAATTCCAAATGTATACACTGTCCTGGACAATTCCAAGGAAATTGGACAGGAGCCACTGATCAGGGACTGCAGCGCAATACCCATAGGTGGAGTCAGGAGGCCCAGAGCTTCTCTGGTTCATGGCACAGGCATAGAACCAGTTACCCTTCACTTGACTGCCCCGCCTAGTTGGATCCTTGCACCTCCCATACAGATTAGGTAGGATGGGCAGGGGAAGACCTTCAAGGTCACACTGTGACACAAGGCATGAGACCCACATCCATCATGAAGGGGCTTTCAGGAAGGGCCATCTGGCACACCCTAGAGCTCACCGTGAGCCGCGGCAACTTCTTGGGCATATCGGACTTAGGGACATCCCCAACATTTTACTGACGGACAGGGCCCACAAAGCGTTCCCTACCCCTGTGCCTTAGAGAGGCAACTTGATTGACCTCCCAAACAGAAGGCCACAGGAGCCAAGGCGGGATTGTTTTTCGGGGCAGGCATTCTCTTCCTGGCCGCAAGGCCAAGAGCCCTGATTGTTTTCAGACCCTCTCAACCGAAGGCATTCTCAACGAATGTCAGCCCCATGCATATCCGACAAAGCTCGAAAAACACACTTCTGTGACCACTGGGATGTGGAATTTCCCCAGGGGTGTAGAGGAGGCTAGTGACACAGGCTGGGGACCAGCAAATGAATGGATTTTTTTATGGAGTGATTTATCTTTCGGTGTCAGCCATTATATACATATATATAATCATTCATTTATTTATTTTTTATTTATTTGTTTGTTTGTTTGTTCGTTTGTTTGTTTGTTTATTTATCTGTACATATATATGGTTCTCTAACTTGGAGAACTGATGAGAGGTCTCTGACTTGGTGGGGCCAAGGCAGGAATCACAAGGAGAAAAGATGTAATTAGCTCTGTAGAGTATCTTGACAAGTGTCATCAGTCTAAGTCTAAAAGTCAAAGCACGAGGGGAAAGGTGCCTTAACGGAAAAACTCAAGTTAAAATTTGGGCTGGCGAGAAAGGCACCTATGCCTTACAGTGTGGCAGGACACACTATTTGATTTCCCATTGGCCAGAGATTTCCTAAACCTTGTCATGCGTTCAGACCATGGTCCCATCCCACAGACCGAGCAGTGTCATCAGTGGCCCATCTCCAGAGTGCCCTGACTTCCTCCCCATTCTTCCTCCCAAAAAGGTGCCCTTAGGAAGAAGAGAACTCATTCTGCTGCATCCCTTGAAGCAGAGTTCACCAGGCCGAGCTGTCCTTTGGGCCTAACCTTCTCACGGCCAAGGCCCTCTTCAGCACTGGCAGCCCTGGTAAGCAATGTTGTTTGTGTCCTAAACGCATGTGTAGCTGTGCTCTCCGGAGACCTGGGTCTATGATGACAAACCTATGTCACGAAGAGAGATGATGACATAAAAATCATGCTCAATAGGATTACGCTGAGGCCCAAGCGGCAGGGCAGGAGAGAAACAGGTGCCTCGTCTCCTTGTGGCTTCCTTGAGGCCCAATTCTCAGGCCCTGCTTCCCGAAGCCCTGTTTCCCCTCCTGGGGAATCCAAGCTATCCAGGTGCACATACCTAGGAGAGCCCTGAGGGCTCCATTCCAAAGCACCTGGTGTGACTCTCCAGCCCCGTGCAAGGCTTTAGCGGCCAACACGCTGCTCATGTCCCTGTCTCCTCTGCTGTCTTTCAGTGACCTGGGATGCCGTTTCAGAGCCCGAACCATCCTGGCACATTTCAGGTAATTGGAAATATCAACCCAAGGGCTGGGATCTCGAAACATCGTGTACCCTCGCCTTCTAAAGCCTCTGACACCCCAAGAACCTTTCCACCTTAGAAGCAAGGCCTCCAGGCTCTGGCCTGATGGTGGCAATCTTCTACCCCTCCGACCTATGGGTGCAGAATGGCAATTCCAAATGTATACACTGTCCTGGACAATTCCAAGGAAATTGGCCAGGAGCCACTGATCAGGGACTGCAGCGCAATACCCATAGGTGGAGTCAGGAGGCCCAGAGCTTCTCTGGTTCATGGCACAGGCATAGAACCAGTTACCCTTCACTTGACTGCCCCGCCTAGTTGGATCCTTGCACCTCCCATACAGATTAGGTAGGATGGGCAGGGGAAGACCTTCAAGGTCACACTGTGACACAAGGCATGAGACCCACATCCATCATGAAGGGGCTTTCAGGAAGGGCCATCTGGCACACCCTAGAGCTCACCGTGAGCCGCGGCAACTTCTTGGGCATATCGGACTTAGGGACATCCCCAACATTTTACTGACGGACAGGGCCCACAAAGCGTTCCCTACCCCTGTGCCTTAGAGAGGCAACTTGATTGACCTCCCAAACAGAAGGCCACAGGAGCCAAGGCGGGATTGTTTTTCGGGGCAGGCATTCTCTTCCTGGCCGCAAGGCCAAGAGCCCTGATTGTTTTCAGACCCTCTCAACCGAAGGCATTCTCAACGAATGTCAGCCCCATGCATATCCGACAAAGCTCGAAAAACACACTTCTGTGACCACTGGGATGTGGAATTTCCCCAGGGGTGTAGAGGAGGCTAGTGACACAGGCTGGGGACCAGCAAATGAATGGATTTTTTTATGGAGTGATTTATCTTTCGGTGTCAGCCATTATATACATATATATAATCATTCATTTATTTATTTTTTATTTATTTGTTTGTTTGTTTGTTCGTTTGTTTGTTTGTTTATTTATCTGTACATATATATGGTTCTCTAACTTGGAGAACTGATGAGAGGTCTCTGACTTGGTGGGGCCAAGGCAGGAATCACAAGGAGAAAAGATGTAATTAGCTCTGTAGAGTATCTTGACAAGTGTCATCAGTCTAAGTCTAAAAGTCAAAGCACGAGGGGAAAGGTGCCTTTACGGAAAAACTCAAGTTAAAATTTTGGCGAGAAAGGCACCTATGCCTTACAGTGTGGCAGGACACACTATTTGATTTCCCATTGGCCAGAGATTTCCTAAACCTTGTCATGCGTTCAGACCATGGTCCCATCCCACAGACCGAGCAGTGTCATCAGTGGCCCATCTCCAGAGTGCCCTGACTTCCTCCCCATTCTTCCTCCCAAAAAGGTGCCCTTAGGAAGAAGAGAACTCATTCTGCTTCATCCCTTGTGTAAGATTTCACCAGTCTGAGCTGTCCTTTGGGCCTCATCTTCTTACAGACAAGGCCCTCAGACCTGGATGTCTTTCCAGACAGGCACTTATAAGAAAGTGAGTTGGCATGGCTAAGAACCAATAAGAGGGCAGAACAGCAAGGCAATAAGGGCACTGGTTAGACAGGAAGAAGCTGGTTCTCTTGTGACGTTATGATGGTGTGGTGAGTTATGTTTAGTTGGTGGCTATTCCTATTTCTCTCATCTCTATGACTTTCACCCATGTAAAAAAATAATGTCTTTATATTGGAATATCTTGTTTTCTCCATCAATGGTAATTGAAAGTTGCCTGGTATAGTAACCTTTTCTGGCATATGTGGTATCTTAGTGTCTGTCACATATCTATCCAAGCTCTTCTAGAGTCTATCTATCCAGGCTCTTTTAGAGCCTCCATTGAGCATTCAGGGGTAATTCTAATACATCTGCCTTCATATGTTACTTGGTCTTTTTCTCTTGCATCTTTTAATATTCTTTCTATGTTGTATAAGTTTAGTGTTTTGATTTTTATGTGGCAAGGGGATTTTATTTTCGTATCCAATCTGTTTGGTGTTCTGTATGCTTCTTGTATCTTCATAGGCGTTTCTCTCTTAAGGTTAGGAAAATTTTCCTCTGTGATATTGTTGAAATCATTTTGTGAGTCTTTGAACTGAGTTTCTTCTCCTCCCTCTATACCTATTATTTTTAGGTTTTGTCTCTTCATAATGTCCCAGATTTCCTGGATGTTTGTGTCAAGATTTTTTTAGATTTAATATTTTGATCAATGTACCTATTTCTTTTATCATATCTTCAATGCATGACAGTTTCTATTCCATCTCTTGCCTCCTGTTGGTGAAGCTAGCCTCTGTAGTTCCTTTTTGAATTCCTAAAGTTTTCATTTCCATAATTCTCTCAGTTTGTGTTTTATTTATTGCTTCTTTTTACATGTTCAAGACTTGAACAGTTTTATTCATTTCCTTAAACTATTTGTGTTTTCCAGGTTTCTTTAAGGGATTTATTCATTTATACTTTAAGGACCTCTATCATATAGTTGGTTTTAAGGTCTTTCTTGAGCTTCAGCCATGTTGGAATATTCAGGGCCCGCTGTGGTAGTATAGCTGGGATCTAGTGGGCATATAGTGCCCTGGATATTGTTGATTGTATTGATTAATAAAAATTCTTGCACCTCGGCATCTGAGTTTGGAATTGCTAGAAGTCTAGGTGCTGATTTCTGGATTTGTCTTTCTTTAGTGGTTTCTGTTTCCTTTCTGGATTTTTGGAGTGTGGTAGATGTGTTGCCTATTTTCCTGGCCTATTCAGCTGATGTTGAAATCTGGGTAACTGGGATGAATTGGAGAAGGAAGGTTGAGGGGAAGGTCTTTATGATCCATTCGAAATAGTGTCAAAGAGGAAAGGGAGACCACAAGAGGTTTCTAGCTCCAGATCTGGAAATAAGACTGGGGCTATTAGCCCTCAGGAGTAGAAGGTGAGGTGTGGGTCTGCCTTAAGCATGCTTGTTGCCCTGGGAAGAGATACCCATGGGTAAGCAATGGGTGCCTGCTGGAGTTGGTGTCAGGGACAAAGCAAGAAGTTGGGAGAGGTTAGGGGGGATTTTTTGTGGGATCCACAGGAGATGCACACAGGAGGAAGGCAATGCTGCAGCTGATATTGTGTTGCAGCTCTACAGATGAGATTGTGGAATTGAGTCTTTCTTAATTGAGAGAGAAGAAAGAGTCTGTGGACAACTTACCTTGTCTCTTGTAAGGTGTGGCCTGTGGTTTAGCAGGGGGTATCTGTTGGCATTGGTGGCTTGGATAAAGCAACAAATGGAAGGAGGGAAGTTAAGAGGGAATGGTCTGTGGGGTCCAGAAAAGATGTGGTGAGGGGTGAGAGAAGGATGCAACTGGTGTTCAGTTGCAGAACTAGGGATGAGACTGGGGATTGGGTCTTTTTGAACAGAGAGAGAGGAGGTCTGCAGGAAGCATACCTCTTGTGTGACTTTCTACTCTTGCACAAGCCTCAAATGGCCAACCAACATTGCTCAGGTCCTTGTCCCCTCTTGTGTCTTTCAGTGATCTGGGATGCCCTCTTTGACCCCACAGCATCGCAGTTTTCAGGTACAATGAAATATAAGGCCTATAACTTGTGTTTAGAAAGGCCAACGGTTCTCCTCCACCCTTTAGAATTTCTGTCTAGTTCTAATGACATTCGAATCATCCCACCCATGCTAGGGGTGGTTTCTGTACATCACCTACCACGTAGGCCTATGTGTCAGGAACTGGAGATACAATTTATCTTGCTTGGGTAAATTCTAAGACACTTGGACATAAGCAACTGATCAGGTAAAAGAAAAAGAGGATTATGCATAGCTATAGTTGGGATAGCCTTGAGGTGGCCATGCTAAGGGGATGTAGGAATTTACCATTAACTTTCATGCCTACTCTTTAACATCTGCTTCCAATCACACTGGCAATGGAGAAGACCAACACTTCAAGGGCTTATTGTGACAATAGTCATCCAAACTACAAACGTGGAAGACTCCTCATAAAGAGTTGCCAGATTGGCAGCCCTAGAACACATCAGAGATACCAATATCACTTCTCAGGTCAATTGGACACACTGATAACTAGAAAATTCTGGTGGTGGACTGTGGTTCTGGGTATCCTTGACTATAAGCCCTTCATTTGGGATTTAGTGATCAATCTCCAAACCTGCAGGCAGCACAAACTGTGGTAGGCAAGTGCATCACAACAGGCATTCTCTTTGGGACCTCAAAGCCATGAGACAGAATAAAATTAGCAGAACAAGATGCAGAGTCATTTAAAGACCTTCTAGTACTGTCAAATATCAGCTAGCTAGTGTTAACAGTGAAATGAGTGAGTAGTAGGGTGAGTGGAGCGGCCATTTGTGCTTTCCTTGCCCTTGCTAATATTTATCCATACATTAATGTGTGTGCTGGGCCTCATGTAATTCAGGATCAAGGTTCTGGAGGTCTTTCTGCTCAATGGCACTATGCATTGATGATTTGATATAGGGCACACAAAACCCACTCTCAAATGTTCCTTCTTCCTGGTCACCTTTCACATTGCCAGCAGGTACTTGTTCAGAAAGTAAGCAAATTGTCTACTGCACAATCATACTCTTTCAAAACACAGCTTACCCAGGTTTTGTCTGGCTGTGGAAATATTCATCTTTTAAAAGATGACTTGTCTGGATCAATAATGAAAACAACTCTCTGAAGATGGTGAATAACTCATACAAATGGCAATCAGAGGTTCAGAAATGAGTCCTTCAAATAAGACAAATAAGATTTTCATAGTCTGCCTTTGCCTCATGAGCCACTGGTGAAGTCCTCTAACCACTATGTGTGGGTTTTGTCTCCTAGCTTTTGAGGTAATGTGTATAGTAATTTTGTCTAGTGACCAAGATTTGCATCATTCTTCTTACCGTGAATGGAGCTGCTGACACTTTCATCAAGGAAATTTATAACAAATAGGAACAATGGAAATACGGAATCAAAAGCAGGGCAAGGAACTGGAATATACGCTGACAGTCATACTAGCATTTCAAAAACAATATTGCTTTCCTGTTAGGTAAGTATAATGGAACATACTTTTTACATCTTATATTAGTATTAAGGATTTTTAGGCAATTTCTTTTCTTTTTTATTGTTTTAGTGATCTAAGACTGGAAAATTCAGTTCAGATAACATAGGTGAGTAACTATAAACTTTATAGACTGTATGTATTGTTCAGTATGCAACTTTCTGAAGTCTATGTATCTTTTTTGGAGTCTTAATGGAGGTTACTGTTGTGATATTTTTTGAAACTTTATCTAAAGATTCATTATTGAGTGTTTGTTGCTTCTACTCTTTCCTTTTCTCTTTAACGATTTTCTATAATATGTAAAAGGTGTAAATTTAAGAAAATTTATTTTAATAATTTTATATTGAATAAAAATTAGTAAGATCAAGTTGTTGCAAAACAATATCACACTGTACCTATTTGATTATTTACTAGAGTTTCAGAATAGAGACCCATTGCTCATAAGGAGATTGTGTTCATACTGTAGTATTCTTTGCTTCTAGTTTAATCAGAGAAGGCTGACATGAATTTACTGTTCCTTTTCCAAAGTGGAAATATATATGCAATTTTTCTTGCTTCTCTGTGGCATATAAGTCATAGACATAAGATATTTGAATAGATTCTGGAATCTTAAAAAACATCTTGTCTGTATTAGTTAATTGCTGGATTTGTATGGTATAAAATTATTGAGCTGGAGAAATTTAGTATATGTACTTTTGTATAAGTATTCTGTATTTCAACAGATAGTAAAATACACCATCAGTCTAGTGTCTATTGGTTGAGGTTATTTCTTGAGAATGTTGTCTAGTAGATGGTATTTTACTTGGTGCTTAATGGTTGATGTCCTCAGAACAGGACAAATACTCGTAAGAAAAACATTGATTTAATATATGATACTTTGGTGGTACAATGGTTTGATTAAGAATGGCCCCTATAAACTCGTATGTTTGAATGCTTGGTTAACAGAGCATGGCACTATTAGGAGGTGTGGCCTTGTTGGAGTAGGTGTGGCCTTGTTGAAGAAAATGTGTCACTAAAGATTTGGCTTTGAGGTTTCAGATGCTCAAGCTAGGACTAATGTGGCATTCTTTTCCTGATATCTGCTGATCTAGTTGTAGAACCCCCATCTATCTCTCCAGCACCATGTCTGCCTGCATGCCACCATGTTTGACAGGTACATTGTTAGAAAGCTCAATAAACTAGTATATTGCTATTTAAGATATCGTAAATAAATTTATTAAAATAAATTTTGTTAATATAAGTAAAATTGTCAGTACTGTTTACAAACATGTATCATTTAACATATAGAATTTAACAGTGACATTGATGCCATAAAAATCTTAATTTTCAATCATCTTACTACTTCTAATTATAAACCAAAGTATGAATACTAAATTTTAAAGGTTCCAAATCATTGTATGCACAGGTTTCTAAGTTCCTATATTATTTATAATAAGATATTCTTAAATCTCAAATTTATAACTTAATTTTATTGTTGTCAAACATAGTGAAAAGTCACAATGAACTACAATAATATATTAAGAAATTAATTATTCTCATAGTGCTAGAGAGGCCCACAGAAATCCACAAAGATACCCACACAACAGACTGCTGGCAATGGTCAAGAGACAGCCCGAACTGACCTACTCTGGTGATGCGATGGCCAAACACCCTAATTGTTGTGCTAGAAACCTCATGCAACTACTGAGGGATCTGGATGCAGAGATCCATGACTAGGCCCCGGGTGGATCTCTGGGAGTCCAATTGGCGAGAATGAGGAGGGTTTATATGAGCGAGAATTGTTGGGACCAAGGTTGGATAAAGCGCAGGGACGAATGGCCGAATGGGTGGAAACACATGAACTATGAACCAATGGCTGAGGGGTCCCCACTGGATCAGGCCCTCTGAATGGGTGAGACAGTTGATTGGCTTGATCTGTTTGGGAGGCATCCAGGCAGTGGGACCAGATCTTGTGCTCATTGCATGAGTTGGCTGTTTGAGGCCTGGGGCCTATGCAGGATTGTTTGGCTCGGCCTGGGAGGAGGGGACTAGACCTACCTGGACTGAGTCTACCAGGTTGACCTCAGTCTGTGGGGAAGGCTTTGCCCTGGAGGAGATGGGAATGGGGGGAGGGTTGGGGGGAGGGGGAGGGGGGGCGGGAGGGGGGGAGAACAAGGGAATCCGTGGCTGATATGTAGAGCTGAATTGTATTGCAAAATAAATTAAAAAAAAAAAGAAATTAATTAGGATAGACTACACGGTATGAATTTGGATAAATTTATAAGAAAAAATGCTCTGACATATTTTTCAAACTTTTAATATTTTTAATAGAAGTTTTAAAAATGTTTCTTTACCTCTAAAGAATTTGAGTATATATGGTATATAAGTTTTTTATTAATTGGATCTGTTCATTGACAATTTCATGCCAATACAAAATACATTCTGATTACTCTTACTCCCCTCATTTCCCCTCTCATACCCTTGTCAATCCACCCTATTGACAACAAATCCCTTTCTTATGTTTATATCTTTTTGTTTTATAAGCCAGTTAGTTTAGCAAGGGTCATCTCTGTGACTATGGGTTTGGAACTATCCAGTAGAGATTGTAGACTCACCAGTGGGTACAATTCTGAAAATAATGACTCTGTAAATAGTTTAGCAAGAAAGGTATGTCCCATGAGTCCATCCTCTATCCATGGCTGGTTGTGATAGTTCAAGTTTTGTGCTGGACTAATGTGGCTAACCACCACTGCTATGAGTTCATAGTTGCATAGTTCGTCACATCCCGAGAAAGTATTTCATATCCCTTATATCTATCTTCAGGTTCTTACATTATTTCTACTCCCTCTTCCTTGAGCCTTACATGGAATGGTATAAATGTGTTTTTAGTTGAATACTTAACCACCTGTGAGAGTTTTATTTATCCATCGTCCTGACTATATATGAACAAATAAGAAAAGAAAAACATAATTAGGTTCCCATATTGAGTTATTATATCATACAAGACACAAGGCAGTGGTTCTCAAACACCCTAAAGCTGAGACCATTTAATACAGTTCCTCATGCTGTGGTGATCACCAAATCATAAAATTATTTTGTTGCTACTTCATAACTGGAATTTTGCTAGTTATGAATTGTAATATAAATATCTGATATGCAGGATATCTGATATAAGACCCCACAAAGGGCTGTGACCCATAGATTGAGAAATACTGACATAAGGGGTTTTAATCTAGAATGCTTGTGTAAAAATATAAATGTGAGTGGTATATAACATATACCAATTATTTTCATGTAATTGACAGACCTTATAAATAATGAAACTTACATCTTTGTTTTATATTAATAACCCAAGTAAGTCTTTATGGGTTTTCCACATGAATGACAGGTGTGTGTGTGTGAGTGTGTGTGTGTGTGTGTGTGTGTGTGTGTGTGTGTGTGTGTGTGTGTGTATGTATATGTGTGCATGAGAGAAGCAACAATATCAGGCTGTCAGTGTGTTTCTTAGGTGTTGCTGTAACTGCAGTTTCCCAGATCTGGAGCAAACACATAAGAATTTCCAGCAAACAAGGCAGTTTCAAATCCCTAAATATGTAATACTTCACTAGCATTTCATCACTCCTTCCTAAATATAGTTTGTATGAACATAAATCAAAGACAATTTGGAGCCATCTTGAATGGGTGGTAATGCATTATTTATATACCTCTGGTCTTGACGATGGTGAGGAGAATGAGGGAAATGACACAAGTAGGCCTGCTAGAACAGAGATGCAGGTGGAAGTTTAATGCCCTTGATTTGGATAGGAAATTGGGAAAAACACACATGACAAGAAATCATTCATGTGACTCACTTATTGAGAGAAATTAGCTAATTTTTGATAAACTGGAAATACTGGATATTGTCTTGAGTTGCTTCTGGTAATATAGTCCATAGATGTGAATATGGCAGTAATATTGTTTTTCCAACATGGAAATAACTTCTTGGGTACTGAGAAGAGATAGAATTGGTAAAAGCAGGTTTGTATTGGATGTTTTAATGTTCATGGCCTTTTGTTCTAGTCATCTCAGTGATACATGCTGAAAGTTTAACCTTGCAGCAATATTTATTCCTTTTAATTTTTCTAAGTGTCAAGCTGCCATCTCCCAAACTCTTGTTCTCCTATTATTGTTCTGCTATAGTGTTCTGCTAAAGTTGATTAAGTTGACATACTGCTAGCTTTAGTAAGCTAAAGGTGAAGAATAAAGCATCTTGAAAATCTAGACAACAGCTATGTCAGAAAGTAATCCACTTATATAAAAAGCCTAACTTGTCAGGAACAGTCTTACCAAGATCAATGATGAGCACAATCATCTGAGGACTGTGAAATATTTTAAGATGTCAATCAGAGAACAGCTATAATTCCTTTGGTAGCAAAAAAGAATTTCAAGAATTATCTCAATGTGACGACCTCTTTACTCACAATATTCCTACATAACATTTTTCTCTTATTTCCTCAATAAATTGTATTGTCAAAATGATTTCCCTGGGGAGACTTTATCCTTAAGGTTTCACATTAAGGAGAAGTTTGATATTTTAACTACTGTGAATAGTTTGATATTGGTTGAATCAAAGGACTTGAGTGAATACTTGATTACAAAGCCATTAAAAATACACACATATATTTGATTAGAGAAATATACATATCTCTATTACAGAAATAAAATGTGACCAAACTGTTATAAAGGGGCATGTAACTCAGTAATGTTGAGAAAGTTCGATGAGAATAGACACAAATAATATCTAAAGACAATTGTGTTAGTTTATTGTAATTGCTGTTTATTATTTTCTAAATTGATTTGTTTGCTTTTGTCCTTTGCCATTTATTTCTCTGTCAGGTAGAATAGAAGTGGTAACATCATGTTGAGGAATAGAAATCAGCAGATTCCTTTGTCATTACAAGTGATAAGATAGTAATATAATTAGTTGATACATTTAGAATGAGTACAATTCATATAAAACATGTTGATTTAATTCCACAATGGATTGAAATTAGAAGCTGAGAAATATTTATTGATAATCTCCAAAATATTTGAAAAAAAAATGAAAACTTGCCGGGCGGTGGTGGCGCACGCCTTTAATCCCAGCACTTG